CAGCCGGCGCGTCCAATCACCGCAGGGCCACAGACAGCAGCGTTTAAACTGCCGCAGGGGCACATACTGACCGTCTCCATTCTCCCACCTTTACTGAACACCGAGAATATTCTGCTGCTTTTTTCCAGTTTTATGAAAATGAGTTTTAATATTAAAATGAGTAATTGCCAGGCAGTGATCATACATGTGCATACTTTATTATCTTTCAATTCAATTCCATGTAGAGACTGTGTGTGTGTGGGGGGGGTTCTTTAAAGGTCAGAATTACAAAGGGTACAAAATATTTCCAAAAAGCCAGAGGATCCAGCAGAGACCCCAGTGAAATATGCAGGCAGCACGCTGGACGGAAACAGGCGGCACAGCAGGCCAGTGGCATCCAGGGTGTGTCGCCAGTGCAGGGGAAACATTAGACTGGAGCAGGAACACTGGCTGAAATTAGGCCTTTTCATGGGCGGCTCTTAGGTGGAGAAACTGTTAATAAGCTCAATTTAGATTCCTACCACCAGGGGGAGAGAGAGCCAAATATAGACTCAACACCCAGATTAAAATGAGACACCAGGAGGTGCAGCATCGAGCACCTCCATCCTGAAGCAGTAGTCGGAATGAACCTTACATTAGAGCACTTGTTCCACGTTAAACTGCTAGGCGGGTCAAATTTTCCATTTTACTTTCGGTCAAATCCCGCGGCTGATGATCCCACTAAAATGTGGAACTTCTTGCCCCCTGTAAAAAGGCTCTTTCATACTTTGGCGGATTTCGCCCTGGGGTATTTTAACACGTCGGTGTTTCATATACAGACACTTTGTGAACCCTAGTATGTGTGTGTGCGTGTGCATCCACCCACAGAGATTTAAAGGTAACAATGCAGCCAAACAGAAGTTGTGGGTTACAGACGTCCAGCCCGGGTTCTCAAACCTTCACTTCCGTGTAGATGGCTTTGCTTTTTAAGCGGCAGCACCTCCCGACATCAAAACCAACCAGGCTTTTGGGAATCTTGCAGGTTGAGACACGGGGGCCTTTGGTATTATAAACCCAGCCAGGGAACATGGGGAGGGGGAGCGCTTTGGTCCCCCATCCACGCCTCCTAATACCACACGACTCCGGCCACAGCGGCCTGCCGGCCTCCTTCAACATGGCGCCCTGACGGCCTCCGGCGTCTCCCTCCTGCCGGCCTCTTTGAATCAGCAGCACATTTAAATTTCAAGTCGCTTGTTTCCCACAAGCGGCCTCCCCCCGACACCCTCATATGCAGGCGTATTTGCATACTGCCCCCTCCCTTCTGCAGTCCACCCTCCACCCCCGCCCCCGCCCTGCTAGCTTCTGAGATGGCACGCCCCCGCCCACCCCCAAGCATACACACATAGAGAACAAGATAAGACAGCAAAGCTGAGATTTATGAACAGGCTGAAACGGACGAGAAGAAAGCGAAGGAGGGGAAGCCGAGGCGTGTCCGTACTGATGGCCAGCGTCCGCCAGCGGGCGAAACAGAGCTGCACTCAGGAAAGAAAGAACAGCGTCGGTCTCAGTTTTTCAGCTCCAGCGGCTGCCAAGGGCTGACACGCCCCCTAACCCCCCCCCCCCACCCTTGAGGAGGGAAAATCGAAGGGGGAAAAAAAAACAAAAACCAACAGCCTCAGGCACAGCCGGAGGCGGCGCAGAGTAACGGGTCGGTATTACAAACATCCATACCTGCAACTGCGCAGGAATTCATCTGGCTCACCATCCCTGAAAAGAGCTGCAACAGATACAACTCTGTCGAGGGGATTAATAAGCTTTTGTATGTATCACTGCACCCCTCCAGATAGACAGTGATGCTGTTTCTCAACCATAATACCTTGCCTGTCCATTGATGTGGTCACGTGACCGACGACTGTCACTCCGTCTCTCTCATTGGCCGATGATTCTCGGTGACGTCCGTCGAGGATGAACCGTCACGTCGGACACGCGACAGCTCTGACGGGTGTAGCTGTTGCTGCCGCTAATTGAACGTGTGTTAATTTGATGAGTACGGCTCGTCTGATTTTGTTGCGCAATTTATCGCTCGCTTTCACATCTCAGTGGCAGCGTTACGTGCAATTTGACTACCTCAGCATGGTTAATTGCTCATTTGTTTACGTATGAAGGACCGGTCCACAATTAGCATTTACACCTGTTTGTAGGCAACAGGCTCAATAAAAGGCAGATGCATGAGACTCAAAAGCGATATGAGAAGGAAGCCAGAATAATGAGCATTCTTGACCCTCATTATTCAGTCAGTTTTTTAAATCCAATTATAATTTTCTCAGATTTATTTTCCAGTAATGGAAGTATCCACATCTATCCTGGTTGTACACCTGCTCCACCCTTCCAGCAAAAGCTTCCCAACTCCCACATGACCCCGTACTCGATATATAATTGGAAGATGGACAGAAGGAAACATCCAATCCCCTTCTTTACAGTGCTCACTGCCCTGCCCCTCCCCCTCCGACACACTGGTTTTCAGCTGCACAGCAGTCTTTGGTTGAAGGTATCAGTGTTCACTTCCAGTTCTCAAAGATGCTGGGGCAGCCCCCCTGGGACTCAAACCCGTGACCATCTGGGGCCAGGGAGGGGACGCGTACTCCTGCACGTGGGCTAGCATCGGCACCAGTCTCAGCTAAGATGACAAAACCACCAGACCACGGGCACTGTTACCCTATAATCCGGCATCATCAACCCATTAAGTGGGACTTTACATCATAAGATAATTATGGCGTGGCCCCAAATGCTATTTATTGAGCATGTTTCCCCCTCTGCGGGTCTTACGTTTGACATTACTATAAAAAACCTAAAGCGGGCCTTCATTAAAAACCCGACTGGGGTGGGGGGGGTATGATGCTGGAGAAACCATGTTTTGGTCCTTCAGGGCTTTCTTTAAAATGATTTTGTGGACACCACCCAGCATAAGGAACAGCTACAAAAAGAAAATGACCTTTTTTTTGTATTGACAACAGCCTACATTTTTATTTGAGTCACAACTGAATTGTGCCTTTGCTATTTAAAGCCAATAGCTCGTCCTGCTAATTGGAGCATGAGGCACCGAAGTAGTTAACGTGCAGCTCAAGGCCACTGTTTGATTATATGACTCTTTCCCCAGTTCACAAACAGCATCTAGGGTTCATTCCCCCTCTTGAAAAAGGCCAGTAGACCCCCTGTAGCACTGGACCCCCCCAAAGACACATGGAAAGACTGCGATGCATTCACGGCCACTTTTAACACCTCGGGTTCTCTGACTCAGGACAACGCAGCTGTGAATGGAAGCTGGCTAATGACTGGCTCACATCTGATCAAAGGCAGCGTTTATTTACACTAAGGCGGGTGGGTGTTTGTAGTACTCCAGCTGAGACACACTCCTCAGATCCATTCACGCCAGCACTGCATAACATGACACCAATGAATTTCATGGAATGAATGAAGTTCACTTTGCGAAAAATGTCCTCATGACTCTAATCCCAAAGCGATATCCAGAGCCCCTATAGCCGCCAGATATCATTGATACACCGTCCAAAGGCACTTATCCAACAGAGGGTCACTGAGCTGAAGCTCATCCCTGGAAGCACAGGGCACAAGACAGGGGACACAGCAGCCAGGATTTCTATGGGCAAAACCGTAATCCCACCAATGACGACCTTACCAATAAGCAACCAAACAAAGTACAAGATGTTTGGCATTTTTAGTTTTTTAATTGCAGTCGCAGATTCTTATGAAATGTAATTTCCCTATGTGGGGACAAAAAAAAATGTTCCCCACAATGTCAAAATAATAGGTTTTTAATCACATTGTGGGGACATTTGGTTCCCACAATGTAATGTATACCTGGACCACCCACACACACACAGACAGACAGACACAAACTTACATACGAAACATCAAAAATCCACCATGGGACCATCAATCCACCTTCTAACCTGAACTACGTACTGAAGGCATGTCAACACAACCTGAGGTATGACTTATGAGCCACAAACGTCTCAGGCTCTGACCAAACAATTGGGTCCATCTTCCCTTTGGACCTTCCTGGCACTAGCCTAATTCAGCCCCATGCCTTCATCTCCTTCACATGCCACTAACGGTCCCTGCCCTCTCCACCCCACCCCCCAGCCACACCCAGATTCATCCAACGTGACATCCCTGTTTCTGCTGAAAGACCATATAAAAACTTGTCTCACTGGGTTGCCGCGGACTACGAGGGGGGAGCGACATCCCCTGTACACCCACCCCCCAAGAAGCTCATTGTTTATGCTCCGTCCGTAAAACATACTTCGCTTTGAGTGGCGGACTCGATCCTCAGTCATCTATCGCGCAAGCCAACAGCCCTCCATCACATTCAAAAGAACAGAGGAAATCAACAGTGCACCCCCAGTTTAACTTTCATTTCGGGACCAGTGTCTCCTGTGTTTACACTCCCTCCTACTGGGCTCGCATTCCCATTTAAACGCCAAAAAACGCGCTGAGAGGCGTAATCCAGCTCACCGCAGCCCAGCAACGCAGGCAAATCCGCCTGACACTCCTCATCGTCAATATCGTGTTGCAACCAGCTTCTCGGGCTACCTCACAAAAAGGTGCATTCGTGCACTTATCATTACCTATGCGGAACTGCTGACACCAAGCTGTTGTTGGCAAACAATCTTGAGGTTAAACTTTTTAACTTTCATACTCTGGGAACAACGAGGAAGTCTGAGAGAAAAAAAACACGGCACACGACATTCAGAGCAACCATTTCTCGAACACAAGAAGGCATGTTGCTGGTAGGTCCCCCTTCCCATGCCTCACCCCTTAGAATATCCCGAAAACTCAAAGCGCGTCTGTTTCTGAAAGCCCAGAATCAAAACGCGAGGTTTCATTTGCCAAAGCAGTGCTTGCAATACTTAACGTTATCCATACCGTCTATTCAGACGACATCTATATCACTTTTTTACAGTAACATTGGGATGTGATGTAAAACACCATTATACCATCCCAGGTAACGCTCTTTTTTTTACCTGTGACATCTGCGGACGGAAGTTGATCTCCTTAAGGTCCACTGATCCGGGCGAGAGATTGTGGAGCATTTGACAGAGGAGCACCCCATCCCTGAGCGCCTGGGCCAGGTCGAACACGGCGGCTGACGGCCATACGACCCGGTGGCTGGGAGGCAGGACCTTGCAGTCTATAAGCCACCGTCCGCATTGTCTCCACTCCTCCATGTCGGCCTTGGGAAACGCACACGGAGTCCGATAGACAGGCGGGCGTTCAGGGCGCACCGGCGTGGTCGGCGTCCTGACAGCCAAGATCCGTCTCCACCGTCCAGCACGCAAGTCAGGCAGTGAAACCAGCTAACCGACGATGCCGATTTTTTATTCAATCCTTATACGAACTTCAACACTTGTTTCTGGTGTTTAAAAATGTGGGCAAATACACAACTATCACTTTTTGTGTTTCCTTTGCCTTCTACTCCTCATCTGCGCTGAAGTTTCTTTTTTCCGCGTCAAAATGTCTCGTTCAGATTCAGAAGGATTTGGATTAGGCTATTTTACAGGCTGTAGAGAGCGACAAGCATCTGGACTAAACGCTTCTTCATGCTCACAACAGTTTTACTTTTGTAGTAGTAAATTCATTCATAAAGTAAATTCATTCAGAGACACGTAGGATTGTTCGTGGAACTGGCCAACAAAACAAATCCGCATGCCATTTGTATCCTCAGCACCCTCGAAGAAGTGCTTTGAATTATTAAAATGAAGAAAAAATATCAGAAATATGTTGGTCTTTCCTTGTCAATTGAATCCTTCACGTACCCTAGAAGTAAACTCCGCCGCCCGCAAAGCATTATGCAACAAGAGCACTGTTTAATGCAGACCCCCACTTTCTGTAGCCTTAATGTACTTCTACAGTACAGCGATGGAGACATGCGAGTTTCCTCCCAATCAAACAGGCTTCCCAGTCTTGCTGAAGGCAGCTTGTTCTTGAAGTTCGGCTTTTTCCCCCTCTGATTTTGCGACAAATTGCAGCTTTAGCGGGCGATTCGTGGTCGGTCCTTGAGCAATAACGTCGCAAAATGGGATGAACAGTCCTTGCAACGCCCAGTTCAACCTTCAGATCGTCTCCGATGCGGTCCAAACATCGTTCAGTGTATGAGCTTAAGGACAGATACGGATTGCCAGCACACGCTCATGTTAGACTCCTGTACTCAGCGGGGTCTCCGTTGTCTGCTCGGTTCCAGTGGTTGTCTATATACTGCTTCTCTTTTTTGCCCCTTTACCTTTCTCTCCTCTCTTGCTTTCTGCCCCTAAAAGCCAGTTCCTGTTCTTTTATTCCTTTTTGGGGTCGCCGTGTACTGAACAGCGCTCGCAGCTCGATCGCAAGCTTTGCGGGAAAAGCGGGAGCGCGCACAGCGGCGAGGTGGGCGGCGTGATTGAGACCGGATTCCGGCCGGGCACGGGCACGCGTCGGCAGCTTCCAGCTGGGGGGAGAAAAAAAGTTGGAAGATCCGGAGACACGTTTGCAGACCGTAGAACATGCCGTGGTTTTGACATGTGGGGGCACACGCTATAAAATGATTCGTTTTATATATGAAAGGAAAGGCAACACCTGAACACCAACATCGCCTGTGCATAAACGTGTTAAGTTCATATATGCTAATTTCGGAAACATTAAATTCGCGATTTTTCTTTTTTTAACGTTTACAGTGACAAGTGAGGAAAGGGATTATTTTTCAATATTTAAACGAAGTGATTCAGATCCATGTTTCTGATGATAGCTTTTCCACGTTATAGATTATAGTTATAGTTAAACAACTTAATAGGCCTAGTCAAACAGTTCCAACTGAGCTCAGTGTTCTGGATCCGTTACTCACCCTGAACGGTAAACATTTAAAAATGACACCCCGCGTTGTGCCATTAATCAAAACATTAATTTGTTTCTACGCCTGCTTACCGACTTTTTTATCCAAACCATAATTCATTTGGTTCATGCTGATCAACATAAGATTTCATTGTGAAGAAGTTGCTATATCTAGATTGGCACGTTACATTGAATAATAGAATTTCTAATTACAAATTCGGCGTTGTTTTGACATTAAAAGCGTTATTCTGTGAAGTGGCTTTGTTAAATAATTGCAGACCGTGGTGGCTTTGATTATATAAAATGTTTTATGATGGAGAAGGTAAACACAGTGATACAATGTATTCTTTTCGAAAATCTGAGTGAGAAAGTAAACATCTCAAACTATGACCGAATCTTTATGAAGGAGTGAATATCCCGTTTTTAGTTAAGTGCAGTGGGGACAATTCAGTCCTAAGGTACAAATCACAAGTGAAGTTCAGCTGTGTCGGGGTGGTCATTTTCCCCCGAATCATGCAATGTCACCGCGCTCAGGGAGAATGATGGTCTTTTCAGGATTCTGTACCAGGTTGTTATTCTGATCGCTCTGGCCATCCATCATTACGACTCAGAAAACACACCGAAAAGGTCCGAAAGGCCACAAGGAATAAATCGGCTTATAACAAACTGCGCGGCGACCCAGGAGCAGAGCTCCCTTCAGCAGCAAAAGGACCACGCCCAGAATTCGGCCACAGCAACAAACATGTTGAACTCAGACCCTAGTTGGTCAGGTGCCCATCCAAGCTTGACATAAACACACTGCGGCGAACCTTTTGACAGAGTAATGTGTTATTTTCCAAGCAGGAGCTCTTCAATATGGTCTCGGGAAGTGTGTTAATTTTAGATTGAACGCGATGATGTATTTGATGCCTGCCACAGTTGTCTTCAAGGTTGTTGCCCTCCAGTTTAGGGGGTATGCCGTGCTATCAGACTCTTCCCTGGTGATTCAGCATCCACAAGGGCGAAGTAACTGCATAAAACTGTCCCCACATCTGTGTGACTTTCATATATGCTCTTATAATCAGCTATCCATCATTACGAATCAGTACGGACTGAAAATTAGCAAGATGTCTATTGCTACACCAGAACATTGAGTTCTTGCAGGGTCTAGCTCCGTCAATAACTTTTCTTAAAAAAAATCAATTAATTGGTTTTGAAAAATGTAACTGTTCCGAATCATGAGTCTTAAGTCATACAATGCCATAATGGTTGCGAAACCCTCAATTTCCTGATTAAATCACCAGTCTAGTTTTCAGTCACCCGAACAATTCTCTTTTCATTGTTTTTTCTATCCTCCTGCGTGTAATGGACTGGCATTTGTTTTTTTTTTAAGATTACACATTGGGTATGAAAAGCGCCTTTGATAATCAACTGCAACGATTACAGTCATACAAATAAAACACCCACAACTGTATCCGTGTTCTTTTTATTTGTATATTTCAAGGGTTTCTAATACAATGTCGTTGAAATTACACGTACATTCGCGCCATCTAGTGGTGCATTGTTGTAAAGGAGTCTCCTGCAGCAGGTAATTCTGGCGGGTGTTTTAAAAACGACAACAAAAAAGGACAATTGTATCCTTTTAAATTAGGGAGGATATTGGTCCACTGGGACAATAAAGAAAAAAAATCCTTTGTCACTCTCAGATATGGATCCTAATTATAAATATTAAAACAATTCATTATTGAAAGTTCAAGAACTGAGCATACAGATAGGGAGTATGAAACGTGTGTCCCACTTAACATCTTTGCTATTTATCTTTGCTACTGCGAGTGGGTGACTGTCACCATCAGAATATATGCGCTCTGCGACCATCTGGCATCTATTCAATAGTGTACTCCTCAGATGATTCGATAAATCCTTTGCCATTTGCACAAGTACAAGTACATTACTCTCCATAGCTTGGGGGGGGGGGGTCACAGCGCAGGGTCAGCCATTGCACAGCACCCCTGGAGCTGAGGGTTACGGGCTTTGTTCAAGGGCCCACAGACATGTGACTATCCTGCTGAGGTCGGGGTTCAAACCAGCGACCTTCCGATCATGACCACGGAGATTTAGCCTCTCACGGCCCAAAAAACGAACTGGAACATAAGTCTACTGGTCTGGACTGGGGGCTCAGTATGATATGCCTTCATGTGGTGCAAAATTTCTAACGCCAACCCTGAGAAAGGATGCATATGAGCTAGAAATAGTTATGAATTTGGGTCTGAATCTTGCATTTGGTGTGCACTATGGAATGGTGGGGGTTCCCTTAAAAAATAAAGTGATTCTTAAATGATAAGAAGGTGTAATAAGAAAGAAAAACGATAGGCCTACTTGAACAGCATCAAGAGCCCATAAGAGGCAGCTTCATTTGGTGGGTGGTGCAAATCAACGTTCAAGACGAATAGCCATAAAACCAGAATTAAGTAATAAAATTCCTCTAGGGGACGGAAACAGCCATTGAACTTGACGACTCACAGAAGAGCAGAAAAAAACCGAAAGCGCTTTGAATTTAAATTAAGCATTAACACCAGTAAATTATAAAGTAAACGGCTTTTAATATTGACCCTAGAGACCCATCATCACCGTACAAGAGATGATCATCCTTTACATATCTTGACAGTTTTATAACCATTGATAGAAACAGTGTGGATTTATAATACTGTCGAACGGACTATTTTTTTCTTTAATTTTAATAAAATGCTTATCGTGGAAGAGATCACAGCACAAGGCTATATTTTTTTGCAAAAGCCTGATCTATTACACCGTTCACTTATTTCCTATCAAGAGCCCAAACAGGCCTACTTTGCTTTCCATATTGGTCTCCATGTGCCATTCGGTTATACCCGGTGATTCAGCCAACTGCCTTTTTCAGGTTACATGACAAAAGGTTTGACCTTGTTTTGAATCTGATTGTGGACACAGGTCCAGTTTATGAGCATATATGCCACTTGCTGCTTTTTTGAGGGGCGCATAATCACTGGGCATGTTTAAATCCAAAGTGAGAACTGCAATTATAGGAGGTGATCACAACCTTTCATCTGCATGAAGATGCAGGTCTGCCACCGACTGACCTGCTGAGCGTCACTGGTCCACAGAAGTCCACCATCCTTCTCCGAGTGCCAGTTCTTTTTATCCGTTTCATACAGAGCTATATGCCAGTGGAGAGCAAGACAGCAAGACAGACTGCCAGATCACCCCCCCCCCCTTAAACACAAACAAGTTTTCTTTGAAGTTTAATATTCCACTCTGACAAATTACTGCAACATTTCCCAGTGTTTATGTTTTACATTCTAAATCTCTTTAATATCAACTGATGCTCCAAACAGAAGCGATGTCAATCAGCATCCATTAAATTGTTTTGAAGAGACAGCGCTTGGCACGATCAAGTCAAGGATCAAATGAGAAACGTCCCTGTGATTTAAACAAAAAAGGATGCACACTTTATTTCCCCATTCATTGACAAAAAACAACTATTCTGGTGATGCAGAGACATTGATTAACCAGTTGGGCACCAGCTGAACTCCACCCTGCCTCAATTCCAGCAGGTTGTTACTGTAAGCAAACCCTAAAACTACTTAGTTATTGAATGATTATCAACGACTCACTGAAGATACAAAAACGGCACAGATGCGTGTAATTACAGCAACGCTGCATGCACTTTTAGGAATTACTTTGATCAGGGTTTTAAATTAAATTGCAAATGTGTGCGCACGAGTGTGCACACACACACACAAACACACACACACACACACACACACCTGTCTAATGAACTGCTGACCGATTTCTGCATCCAAAAGTTTAATGATTCCGTGCCGTCATATATGCTAACATCAGATCAAACCGTACATCAGTATGTCTGAAGCATTTTACACTTGGTACTACTCACTCACACAGGTGCAACGGAGAGCTGGCAGCGGCCGGCCGACAGGTAGGGAGCCGCTGATCAGATGCAGGCGATGGTGGCCATATCTGACAAGTTATTACTTGATATGCTTATGGCTAAAATCACACGCACCCAGGAAACAGCCGTGAGCAAAACACCACACAGCTAAAACCTTAGGCCGTTCAACTGGATCACTTTTATGATTCAAAGATGATTACAGCAGGAGACTCAGTGTACAGCTCACATGTCACATCTAAGAAGAACACAGAACACGGACGGAGCAAAGTGTGTCAGGTAAAAATAAGCCACTCTGATGCAAAACCGGAGCAAAGATCATCGTCCCGATGCATTATTCATGAAACAGACATTACTCCAGGCATCCTACATCAATCAATAAAATTCTCTGGAAACTCCAAAACACACACACACACACACACAAAATATATAACTCCTCGTTATGTCACAGCGGGTATTTCAACTCTGCACTGTAAAAATATGGCATCAGAGACAAAAATACATTTAAAAAAGCATCTCGAAACACAGGTCAAATATAAAATACACCATTGCTACATTAAAATACTGCAACTCCAGGGACTCTCCAAGGACCTGCTAGTTAAATTAATCCCTTAACAGAGTGCAGAATTTGATGACAACAAAATGGATTTCTCAGGAGTATTTTCGAGGGCAGAGGGAGTTTGTCATTCCCACACCAGAATTAATGAATTTGCGTGTGGGTGTAAGGAAACAGCCACTCGCCAGTGAATGACTACTGATTACTTTGAGGTTCTAATCCGTGAACATTTTGCACCCTGATCATTATTTTCAGTATTAAACAGAAAAGCTTACATCATTAGAAGCCCAAAACAACAGAGTAGCAATAAGTATATTGAAAGCAATACTTCGGGGGGGGGGGTGGCAAGCCTCTTAAATGGGCAAAAAGGTTTACAACTGGCTGGAAGAGGGAAAAAAAAAAAAATTAGAACATACAGAGGGGGAAATCTGACATCATATGAGGGGCCTCACTCACCAATATAACATAGGCACTGAGGCCATTGGAAACCCCAGGCAGGGCTCCCTGTTCCAACTTTTCACTGCTTTGCTTATGGGACTGCTGGGGTGGGGGGAGGGGATTTGCTCAGGAACAGAAAAAGGGGCGGGGGGCCAGCAGTAGGCTGGAGAGGACTCCATCGGCCCAGATCTGAGGGATCGGCCAAGCTGTGGCACTAGTCATGCTGGGTTCTCCTTAAAAAAAAAAAAAAAGTCATGTGATTTTTCGCACCACCAGTCAGAAAGGACAGGTCTCTCATTGCATATCTCCGATGACAAAACATCGCCAAGTCGCTCTGTTCCGTTTCCAGACAGTTCCCAGAAATGTCGACTCCACATCCATGATAAAAAAAAAAATATAAAAAAAAATCTTTAAAATGTTCTGCATTTGCTTTTTTTCCCCTTGTAATTTTTTATAAAACGAGTCTTAAAGGGGGTCAACCGCTGTGACTGCATACGACGCTCATTTAAAACATGGTAGGAATGAAGGAGGGTGTCCAGTCCCAGGCTGGCCGTCGGCGCAGCGTCAGTCGGAATCGCTGCTGTCCGAGCTGGAGCCACTCGAGCTGCTGCTGCCCGAATCAGAGGAGCTGCTGCTGGCGCTCAGTCTTGAGGCGCCCCCACCTGGCGCCGAGCTGCCCTTCTCTGCTGGGGGAGAGGGAGGGAAGAGCCGCTCAGACCGGGACATGACATGAAGCGGGACTAAATCACAAACTGGGACCTCTTACAGGAATTAATGGGAGTTTAGGCACCCAGGGGGGTATAAGAAATTAGAGTAATGCACACAGCAGGGGTGAAGAAAAGAGATAGTGATTTAGCCGTGTAAAGTACTGGAGCTTCAGAGTGGCTTTCAGGCTGATTGATGCACAGGCTAAGACAGACAGTGCTGGATTGGTCTCTGGAGATGAGGAGGGGACTGTGCGTGTGTGTTTGTGTCTGCATGTGCGTGCAAGAGACACGTTCAGTACAGTGACAGGACTCACCCCTTCTACACTCCCCTAAGTCTCTGTTGCTACAGACAGACCCCTTAAACTGCAGGCGGACAGAGGCAGACAGAGGCAGACAGAGGCAGACAGAGGCAGACAGAGGCAGACAGAGGCAGACAGAGGCAGACAGAGGCAGAGCGCGCGCAGGACGCGGCGGCCGACAGGGAGGGAGAGCGCGCGTGCGTGCGAGGCGGCGGCGGCTGACAGGGAGGGAGAGCCCGACAGGGAGGGAGAGCGCGCGTGCGCATGCGAGGCGGCGGCGGCCGACAGGGAGGGAGAGCCCGACAGGGAGGGAGAGCCCGACAGGGAGGGAGAGCGCGCGTGCGCGTGCACAAGGCGGCGGCCGACAGGGAGGGAGAGCGCACGAGGCGGCGGCCGACAGGGAGGGAGAGCGCACGAGGCGGCGGCCGACAGGGAGCGCGCGCGCCCAAGAGAGACTATGAAAGAACAGAAGGTAAGCAAAGGACCCTCCTTCCTAACCATCGCAGACTCGCAGCTTCCAAAAGGCACAGCAGACATCCTCAAAGGCTCAAAGTGAAAGAGCCTCTTATTCCACAGCCATGGTGTCCCCTCTCCACAGATCTGGCAAAAACAGGCAGAAGCCACTGCCGTCCGCAGACCCACACAGATGGCCGCCATGCAGGCCTGGCCTGGCCTCCTGCGGTTCATTTCCAGCCCCATGAAGGGCGGAAAGACGAGTGGGGGAGGGTTAAACGACAAACAACCAGGCAGTCGCCATGGACTGGAACGAGCGCGCTGAGCAGAGGGTCTTTCTAGCACAAGAGCCACGAATGAAATAAAACAAAAGCATAAAATAAAATGTCCTGCAAATCTTATCCCATATGCTTTGACCCGACAGCCAAATGGCAGCCTAATCATATGAGCAATTAGGGCTACAAAAATTATTACTGGTGTTAGAGGAATGTTTTATGAATGTTTAGCTGAATCAATTCAGCCTCAAGCAAAGGAGACTAAGGGGGGACATGATCCAGGTCTATACGATTTTAACAGATCTGGATGCTGTTCAACCAAATGGCTACTTCAATATTAGTTCAATACAAGAACTCATGGCCATAGGTGGAAATTAACAGGAGAACATTTTGAATTGGTTTTGAGAAAGTATTTCTTGTAGTTTGTAGTTAGAGTATGGAATAATCTTCCTGTTAGTGTAGTGCAAACAAACTTTGGGCTACTTTAAATTTTTATCTAGCTCTGATTTAACAACTGAGTTATTAGTTGAATTCTCCCCAAAACGAGCTTGAGGGGCCGAATGGCCTCCTCTCGTTTGTAAATGTCTCTTAATTAGAATGCAATTCATTAAAAAAAATTGACGTTAAGCACTGTACTGTGTGGATTTGGCATCAGGGATTCCTCTGAAGCAACATTTTCAGAATCCAGGGGGTATCACTGGAAAACGAGACTTACACAAAGGCTTCAAGATGCTGAGAAAGTGTCTGGATGACGGGAGCAAAGGGAGGCCAAGATTTATGGGAAGCGGCCGAGGTGTATGGATGGACTTACGTAAAGGCTTCCTCTGCTTCTTCTGCAGGCACGACTTGACGTAGCGCTCGAGCTCGCGCAGGGTGGAGGGCTTGAGCGTCTCAAAGTCGATCTCGATCTCGTCGGGGTTGGAGTCCCGCAGCGAGGGCTCACGCGCCTGGATGATGTGCACAACACGGCCCAGCTTGTCGCCCGGCAGCCGGTTGATGTCTAGGCTCAGCTGCCGCTTCTCATCGTATGTCATGGGAGGAGAGTCTTCCTCATCATCAGACTCGCAGCTCGCGCCTGGGACTCCCTTCTTCACCCGCCTGCATGTTTGCAGTGGTCAAAGAGACACCAAACTGTATCAATAATCTGCATGCCTATCAATTACGGAACAAGTGCCATTATGCATGAGGTGATATGCAGGGAGAGCACAGGTGAAAAAAGTCCTCTGATTTATCACAAGATGATCACACGGGTCAACAAAGATTCTGTCAAAAAATGACTAAGGAGTGTCTGATGTGCCTTTTTATAGTGATGGCCAAATGAAGCATTTGCTGCATTTTCTGACCAAGATGGCAGTCTTGGTTTGCTTGGCGCATGCTTTGAGCCCTTTTATGAACAGAGAGCACCATCTAGTGGGGTCAGAAAATACAGCAAATGGTTCATGAACCTTCATTTGGCCATCACTACCTTTTTATGTCAATTTCAAAAATGCACTAAGAATTTTGCCCATAGGTTTGAGACGCCATTTTTAGTCTATATTGATAGACCTTGGATGTGTCCGAAATTGCGCACTTGTGTCAGTGCACTGAGATGTAGTGCGTAGTGCGCACTTCCTTCTGTAGTGCACACTACCATGGGTAAGTGCTGTCCTAAATGGAACACTAACGTTTTGCACTTACCAGAAGTGACGGACTAGCATTTGATCGCGATTCTCCAGCGCGTCAAAATATCTGCCGTGTTTTGTTTACAATTAATTTCCTTGTGGTTTTATTTGCGTGTATATAACCTATCTACTACCATCTAACCGGCTAAAAAACTGCTAACATTTACGTGTGCAAACTCTTCTAAAGTTGATATAATCGCACACTCAAACAAATTATCTATAACTGTCGTCAGAGTGAAAGGCTACACACCGCAGTATACATCAGTAAAATAATTTTATTAACGTTACATAGATTTATATGAAGCAGTTGCCTCCGCTTGGGCTTACATGTCTGTGTTGTTGTCCGCCTTAATTTAACAATAAAAACTTGCCGAAAGTGCCTCCCCTTCCGCTACGTAGTCAAAATGGCGTCTGTTTAGTGCGAGTAGTGTCCATCATTCTGGCCGTTTTCAGTGCACCATCCGGGTACTTTCAGTGCACTTAATTTTGGCTTAGTTGTCAGTGTGAACACACTACGCCCTAAAATCGCGCACTAAAAGTGCGCAAGTGCGCGATTTTGGACACACCCCTTGACTGAGCATATAATTCCTTATCAAAATCAATGAGCATATTAAAAAGTTTAATTTAGGAAAAATGATTTAATTTCTATTTGTGAACATTGTTAAGAGTTTACGGAAGGGTGTAACGTACTGCAAGTCTGTTTTACTGGGTTGACAGGCTATAATGTTTGAGCATTTTAAGACTGGAGTTTGCTTTCGCTCTCAGCCAGCAGACTTTTGCTGGATCCTCAAGGGCTCATTCCATGTCAAATTATCACACTTTCGGACCTCGTCACGGATTTTAACGAAACTTGGCATGCTGATTTCGTCACATGAGTAACTCAAGAAACTGAAATTGGGCGTGTCTTGGATAAATATTGAGGGATATTTAAGTGAATAAAGTTTTAACTTTTTTTTTGGGGGGGGGGGGGATTACAGCTATCACTTTAACGGGCTATATTTACACTAAAATTATCTGCACAGAAATGGTCCTCATATTGTTTTAAAGCTATTGTACAGCTCGCATTGTCCATATGAATAATTACTATGTAATAACCGATTAAACCATGAAAAATTCAATAACAAAAACACCTATATTTCAAAATTGATCAATTTTTTACTTAAACTAGCTCGTAATGTCGTGAACATCTCCAGAAAATTTTATCTCAATTGTTGCTGACATATCATCACTTATGTGAAACATGCATCAAAAACACAGTTCCTTACAGTGCTGTTAGCAGCAGCAGAATAGCAGTTAGTGATCAATGCATGGTACAGGGTTATGATTTTTATACCAAGTTTCGTTAAAATCCGTGACGATGAGGTCCGAAAGTGTGATGACTGGACATGGAATGAGCCCAAGAGGGATGTGTCCCTGAGGCCAAGTACCACAGAAAATTACTCTGGCACTTCTACCTCTTAGATGAGTCAGTTCCACCCTGCACATATACCCTGCACATATACATATAGCATAAAGTTTTGTTGGAACTGAGGTTCCGGCAAATGTACCTGGTGCTGGTGCCGGTGCCGGTGCTGGTGGCCTTGCGGGCCGGCGCCTTCTTCTGCTGGGCCGGCTTGGCCGGCTGAGCGGCTCGGAGCTTCTTCTCATCGTCCGGCTTGGCCTTGCGATCCTTGTCCTTTTTCTTCTTCTCCTTCTTCTTCTTGGGCTTGCTCACGGGGGCTTGGGACAGGGCGGCGAGCTGCTCGTGGACGGCTTTGAGCTGCGGAGGGGGGCGGGGGGACAGGGGAGCGGGGGGTCAGCTCTCGGCAGACGGGAGGACGGTGCCAGGTCGGGCCGAAGCAGGGCTATTACAGCAGCGTAGCTTCAAGTGCGGACCCATCAAACGCAGCCTCTCGACTTACCTCTGTCACTTTATCAGCGATTTCCCAAACTATGATATCCCTGCTTGCTACACCTGGGTGAAAATGGCTTTGCTCATAACCAATAAAGAGAAATCCACACGAGAGAGACGTGTTCTTGCGAAAAAAAATCATTTCGCACATTCAATTCTGCCGGCAGTGATGATTTTAATAGGGATGATTGGCCCGATTGCTCATCCGCAGTAGGATCTTTCCGTTCTGAAGAAAAATCCATAAACACCGGGTAACCAATCAAGGTCTTTAACCCTTTTGGTGCCAGCATGTGGTGATTAGCAAAAACAAACATAGGAAAGAAAAAAAAAAAAAAGAAAAAAAAACAGAGGGGGGTAATTATACTGGCTGCCTAGGAAATAATTTAAAAAACCATAATCTAGATTCTCATTCACCAGCTGCACCAATCAGCATCGCTGAGACCTACAGAGGACAGCAAAAGGCATTAGCGTAACCTTGAGATGCATCACCCAGCAAGCCCCGACGGAGCGAGAGCCCCACCCTTCTCCCCGCCCCGCGCCCAATCACGAGCAGCCTCCTGTTGCTGGCCCCTCCCGCCCCGGCTGGTTCAGCAGGACGAAGCATATAGCACTCTGTTCCGGAGTTAGTTTAGGGAGCAGGGTGGAGAAGTGAAGAGTCGGTCAATCACCTGCGAACTTTTGCCGCACCTGTATTTTTCCCCCTGCCCGTTACCACTGGGGGGCTCCACAGAGAATCGCTGGTAAGAGAGTTAAAGATATCATTGCCATTGGTCAAATGAGAGAACAGGTCACTGTACACAGAGAGCGACGTCATGGTACGTGAGGCCGTATTTACTCATGAATATATATCTACATACGGGGTGCCATGAATGCTAAGAACTGACAGGTCCAGCATCGAAGCTGATCACGATTACCGTAAATCACGAGGCCTGAAGGGGGCGCCACGCTCCGAAACCCACCTGCTCCTGCAGCTCGGCGAGCCGTGTGGCTCGTTCCTCCTCTGAGTCGGAGCTGTCGGAGCTGGAGCTGTCCACACTGCTCGCCCCGCTGGCCGCGCCCTTACCCGCCGCGCCTGCCACGGTGGGGGGGCTCGCAGGCGGGCTCTGCGCCACAGGCTCATCCGGCATCTTGGCGAAGCGCATCTCGAAGACGTCCTACGGGGCGGAGCGTGGTGCGGTTATACAGAACGTGCCAGAACCCTAACACCAAGCCAAGGGGGGAGGAAGGGGTGACACCGACCTGCAGCTTGCGGGCCATTGCCACGACCTCGTGATCCGGTGGGTTGTACTTGTAGCAGTTGGAGAACATCAACCGGACGTCAGCCGCGAAACCCTGGGCGTCCGGGTACTCCCGGCCGTCCATCTTTTTCTGCGGGAAAGGGAGACCAAGGGTTGCCAGATCAGATCTCCATCGCCACGCTCGATTCATCAAAAAGGGGGGAAAAAAACGAGGCCATCTGGAGGCCTTGGCCCACGTTCAAAAGAGGAGTCGCAACACTGCCTTCTGACTCCTCCGATGAATCTACTATGATAAATATCTGTTTCCTACAAGATGTGTAGTACAAACATAGAGACACTAGAAGACATTGACATCTACATATTATTTAGCAGAAGCTTTTATCAAAACAATGTACATCTGAGAAAGCATAATGAGACTGCATGGAGCAACTGAGGGTTCAGGGTCTTGCTTCGGGGCCCACTGGTGAAATCACTCTGCTGACCGTGGGATTTGAACCAGCAACCTTCTGATCACAGCCACAGTGCCCCTCACCCAATAAGCCAAAGCCACCCAGAAAAAACATTTGCAGGGCACTTGACTGCACATATACTGTTGTTGGTGATGGATGTACCTTGACGGTGCTGAGATCCATGGGGTGCTTGATGATGTCATGGTAGTCATGCAGCTCCAGGGCCTGGGCGTCCACGGGTTTGTAGAAGGGCCAGGCGTAGGCGGCGTGCTTCTTGGACAGCATCTCCTTGAGGATGTTCTCGCAGTAGCGGAGCTGCTCCTTGAGCTTGCCCCTCTTGGCGGCGTGCGGCGTCCCCTCGCTGTCCTCCAGCTCCTTCCGGGGGGCCTTGATGGGACGGCCCGTGCTCTCGCGGCGGGAAGGCGGCCTGGCCTGCTTCGCCTCCTGCGGCGTGGGGGACTCCTCGCGGCTGGCTGTGATGGCAGAGGTGGTGGGGGTTGTAGTGTCTGCTTTCCGCTTGACGCCCTTTTTCTGTGGAGGGGGGAGGACACCTCTGGTGACCAGAAGGCGGGGCTTAAAACGCAGCCTCACCGCAGCTTTGCACTTATACACACAAGCTTTGATGTATCACACGTTCCCTCTTGTCACTTGAGGGAGCCACACTAGTTTTGCAGCCCCAGAATGTTCCAGAATCTGCACATGGACATGTGACTATAACGACCTCAGTAAAAACGGCACTCGATTCACACCCATGATCTACGTTTTGTTCCTGTATGACAGTGACACCCCCACTGGGCCATTCATCGCTACGAACTCCACATCCCATGAGGCTTACTTTGACGACGGGCTGAGCGGGCGGGCCGACAGGCATCATGGGTGGAGCTGTGGGCGTGGCCTGGACCAGCGGGATGTTGGGGGTGATGGTGGGCACGGGGGTGGCCACGGAGATGATGGGCGTCTGGGACACTGGTGGGGGCGAGCTGGGGAACGTCAAGGGCGGGGAGGCTGCAGACACAGCCGGGTCCGGCTGACCCCCTGTTGCCAGAAATCAGAGCATGACTTCGCCCCCAACAGAAACACTCGGTTTTCACACTCACTGACACAGACCCGCCCCTCTGTCACGGCTCACGGAGGCCAGCAGGGCTAGGCTGGGGGGGTACCTGCAGTGGGTGGAGCCCCAGGCTTCCGCTTGCCTTTGGGGGCAGGGGGCAGAAGCTCCACCTCCTCCTGAGGCATCTGGGCCACTTTCTGCAAGAGGATCTTCTCCAGAGCTTGAGCCATCAGAACAATGTCATCCGTTTGCTGGGGAAGGAAAAGAGGAGGAGAAACAACAATGAGAAAGAAGAGCGTCCTCAGTACCAATGCTAATCTTTCAGTTCGTCGAGGCTTGGAATCCCATCCAATAAAAAGGCTTTAAAAAGTAAATCCATTGCTAGACATTTTATTCAACCAAGAATGTGTACTGCAAACTTGTCTAGCAGACAGCTCCTTTAAGCTTTAGCAAACAAAGCAGATGCACTGGGGGCAGCATCCAGTAAGGAAGGGCGCCTTTCAGTGCCGACAAGTAGCTTTAAGTCCTACCTTGTTGTAGATGTAACAGTTGGTGAACATGGTATTGAAGTCCTGCATACACTCGCTGGCGCTCCAGTAGTAGTTGTTTTCTAGCCTCTTCTTGATGGTCCCCATATCCATTGGGTTCTTGATGATCTTATGATAGTCCTGGATGAAGCCGCAGGCATAGAGGTCGCCCCAGTCAGTGTAGTTAGCATGACAAGTGAGAGGGGAGAAAATAATCACTGGTAATGATTCACTTGCATTTTTAGTTACAAGCTGGAAAGCAAAGGTAGTTTAAAAATCTTAAAAATAAGACACACTACTGGAAAATACCTAAACCTCAAGAACTGAAAGAATGGTTTAATTATATCATCTTTTTTGTATTGCGGCTAATGCTGCATCACCAGCTGTATGTACCCCATTCAGAGTCCTGCACGGGTCCACTTTTGGAGACGTGCACCCGCCCGCACCCGCACAGTACAGCACCACACCCGCCTGTGCGCCCGTGATTATTTCAAAGTTAAATCCGCACCCGCCCGAGCCCGTTAAGATTCCGCACGTTACCCGCCCGTACCCGTGATAAATTACACACAATTATTTTTTCTATGCACCTCTCAACGTGACAAGCGCTAGACCTACATTAATTTTGAATTGAAACGAAAAAGTCCGTTTAACACAAAATCAAATCATTTAGATCTAAGCTATCCATACTGTGACGAGCGTGAAAGAGAGAACACGACGACACGCTTCAGCAAGGATTCAGACGGGTATGTGAATGTTTGTGAATGTATGCATGTGAATGTTATCTAATGGCGCGTTCGTTTTTCTCTCGGAACTCGGAAATTCCGAGTTGAGTGACATCACGTCCGACAATCTCCCGTTCCAGCTACCACATCTCGGAACAAACATGGCTGCCTCCATGAACACGCTGCTGTGTGTCGTTGCTTTATATTTTAGCAGATTTGGAGTGAGATTATTTTTTCCGAGAAACAAACAAACAAGAAACACGAACTAGTCAAAATATTTTAAATATTTTAGCACATTATTATTTTAGCACATTAGCACATTCATAGCGATATTCTTTTTTTGAAAGGCAAACAAACTACAAACAAACCAAAGACACTAACAAGTCTGGTAACAAATCTGATATTGCATGATAGGATACTGTTTACGGTCATAATATGGTATTCTCTAAATCGAACATGTGCAGTTACATTTATAACTATTAATACATTTAACAAAATAAACATTTTTAAAGATTTATAAAATAGAATTACTGTTGAGTGTGTAAGCCGCCATGTTGAAATTACATCACAGGGGCAACTCGGACAACAAAATCTTGTCTGACATCAACGTCATAAGAGAGGCGTGTTTCCGACGGGAAGTGACATTTTTCGTGACGTTTTGTAACGTTTTCATCCGAGTTCCGACATCAGAAATAATCGAAGCCACCATAAGGTACCCCCGACATACTGAACACACTGTGATGACAATTTGTACATGATAGTCTTATGAGCAAAAATATCTATGTGTTATTTTTGCAGGCTACAATACTGTTTTCATTGACCTGCTACCCGCCCATGTGTAATGAATTACCCGCTCGCATAATTCCAGAACATTAAAATCCGCCCGTTTCAGCAACTATCTGCGGGTACCCGACCCGGTGCAGGACTCTGACCCTATTCATCCATGTATCCATCATTTTTTAATAGCCATTGTATTAATATTTGGTGTGTTGCTGGTGTAATGTTTGCCTTGATGTTTACTTGTCAAGTACCAACTTTGTTAAAAGCTAATCATTTGAAAATAATAATAAAAGACACACTGGAAAAACCACTCACACTTGAGTCACGTTAGGGCATCATGTCACATGTTTAGGCTAGATCACACACACGAGCTGGTGTAAATAACTCAGCATGACTCTTGAAGTTCAGGTGCACCAGCGAGACACGAGGCCGTTCTGTACTTACGGGGAGACACAGCTTGATGGCGTCGACGGGCTGGTAGAAGGGCCACGCAAACTGGTGCTTCCAGAGCGTCTTCACCACCACGTTCTGCATGTACTGCAGCTGGTTGGTCTTCCTGCCAGGCTTATTGGGGTTTGTCACCTCTGGCGGTGCAGGGTTGACGCCCATGGGCGGGGTCTGAACAACCGGTGTCCCCGCTGACATGTTGGCGCAGGGGAGGGGAGAGGGGGAAGGGGGGTTTCCCACAGTCTCTTTCTCTCTATGCTTTCACTCTATCCTGTCTTCAGCTGGCACCTAGTGTATCCTTCTTCTCTACCCTTCCCCGGGGGGGGCAGTATGCCATTTCAAGGCCTGACCTAATGGTCTCTGAAGGACCAATCACGGCCGTCAGATGGTCTGAAAAGGAAGAGAGGGAAGAATCAAGACGTGGCTAAAACACCACCTGAACCACACCCCCACCCAAACACCGCCTGCTCTAACGTCTACGCTGACTCATATGATACTTCATTAAGAAGCAGACGGGGGTCTGTCCAGTGAGTAAGGATGGAAATGGAACGTTCCTTGTTCCACGGGGCACAGTCAACCCCTTTCTCAGCTCCGAACCCGAACAGAGCAGCATTTATTCCTGTTTCAAATACAATATTTCTACTGGCTCTACCCAAGCACGGTCATCGCAGCAGAGACTCTCCCGTGGCCCCGACCAAAACCCACACAGAATAAATTAAAAAGCAAAACAAAGAGCAAAAACACTGACTTAACCACAGGTAACACCTTCTCTACAAAGAACATTCTTCACAAGCACGTGAGGTTCTCAGAAGACACCTAAATCACAAAAGCTGGATGGAAGCTGGCCCAGCATGGCCAGTAGAGGGGGGAAAAAAAAACACGCAAAACATAACCGGTGAGGTGAAACTGCTTTATGCTTCTCAGGAATGAAAAGAGCAGCGGGTCCAACAGCTAATTCTCCCACCATAGCTACAGCTGAAGTAGAGAGCAAAACAAAACCTCATCATTTACCTTCATCTGGATTGTTACTATCACACAGAGGAGAAAAAACAAATCAAAGTAAATCCATAAGCGGCTATTGGCCAGGTGAAATCAGCAAAGCGGGATGAACTTTGACATGCGAGTCTTTCACGCAAAAAAAATATACATATACACGCAAACCCGATTTCTCTCAGTCCCGCTGCGTCTGACTCATTCTTCGACAGTTTTATTAACACTTCCCCAGAGTGTCACAAATCCAGGCACTTATCAGCTGAGACTTGCTACCGCACAAAAGCAAAGCGCGGCCCTCGGAGAGCTCAGTCACACATAAACGACGTTTGGCGGTATCCTTCACCCATGAGCACCAGCCCTCTAAACCTGAACCAATCACACACCAAACCATGACGAAAATACAGAGGTGGTGAAAAGCACGGGCAGTCTCCAAACCTGGATCAATAAGCGGAGTTTCCGGAAAGCTCTGGGTGCAAAGTCCAACCGACAATCCAGCATATAAACAGCAGTGCAAGCAATGACAGAACACAGTCAGAGGGAGCTAGTGAACATAGAGCTAATATCCTTTTCTCAAGCGCTGCCTCAGGACAGAAAATTTCAGATAAGAGAGCCTGAAAGACATACAATACAATATAAAACCACCATTAACTAAAACCATACATCTCAGCATCTATCCAGCTGGAAATAAGGACGACACTCAAGACTACGCACGATATTAAGAGTTCACTCCACTCAGCATCAGAGACACTTTCTGCATTAATGGGAACCAAGGAACTTCCTACGAAAACAGACATAAAAAGCAAATCAAAGCATTTCTGGCCACAGAAACTAATAGCATTTTAATGACTTGTCATGCGCTGGTTACAATTCATCCTGAGAACCTTCTGAAGTCAGAGTGGAGAAAACAAGGAGCGACATTGAAAGATACCAAACATGCACCCAAAAAGACCAACCCCACTGCCATTAAATTAGTATTAAAGGTCCCAGGCAAAGATAAAAACCAGCTTATTGTGCCTAAGATCTCATAGCAGGCCGACGGGGAAGACCACAATTACCCAAATGCCTCACAGTCAGACCGCCAGCTTTAATGAAACGAGAATAAGTAACATTATCTCAGAGAAGGATGACATTTTATACTAATACAACTGAATACAAGTGGTACATATATAAGTGATGACAATGAACATGTGGGAAAGACGAAACTAAAACTGTGTCTGACCAACCAAAGGGATGATCTATCACATAAAAGTATTTCATTTTTATTGCGGCCTGTTTCTGTCATACATCATGTTTATAGTGAGCAAATTACTTTTTTTAATAGTTTGCTTTGGCTTTCTAGTCTTCGATATCTCCGTCAGCCCAGTCGACAGTAAGGACCAACTGATGCGCATAGACAAATTCAAATGAACTATTAGGCTGTATTTTTCAAGCACGATAATAAAGCAAAAACCTTGACTTTTTATAATACTACCGCATGATAAGGTTAAAAACAAACAACTCGTACTTGGTACAGCCTGCAGAATCGTGTATTGGTAATAGCATACGTGGTGCTACGCGCAAAATCCTAAATAGATACACTAATAATGGCAACAGTACAATCGAAATGAAAATCAAAGCCGAGAGTATTAAAAGTAACGATCAACCTCAGTTATTAGCAAAACGATTTAAGTTTTACTGCCTGAAATATTTTGTGTATTGAAAAGTTACCAGAGTTGGGAGTTAATTGGATTTCTTGTACCCCTCTGGGTTTATTAAAAGATCGCAGAAGCTTTGACAGAATTAGCGCGGTTTACACTGACTGTATTATTCCCGGCTAGGAACCATCACACCGATCGAAGCGACACACGTACACATTGCGTTTTTTTTTTAAAGAAAGAAAAACAATTACTGTGTCAGATCGACAGCATAATAACGTGGATTAGCAACCGAAAGAAAAAAATCCGAAAAGTTCAAGTAACGCAAGGAAGTCAAAGGTAGCCAAACCCAACGTAGTATAGATAAAATATACTGGGAAAATGACATTTGGTTAAAAAAAGTGTCGCATATCGTATAACCCCCCACTGAATTACAGACCGCAATAAACGGAAAATAATGTCAAACTTGAGTATCGGCAGGGATACAAACCTGAAATCTGAGCCAGTCCGACCAGCTACCGAGTTTCAAGCTATAGTTACAATGTAATCATCGGCTTGTTGTTTGATCGTTTCTGGCTACAAGAATCAATCAAGAGGAAAAGCCGGCGGTCGCAGGCGAGCATTTGGGGGTGGGGGTCAAGGCAAGATCCCGCCTAAAGAAACAGCTCAGCGAAGCGCTTTTTAACGCCGATCCCACTTCACCAGCTGCCCAACCTTCAGATATATGCGACCGAACAAGCCGAAGTAACCAGTCGGCGGTCTGATTTCATGTTTATGTTACACTTAAGTTCGCAAACTACAGGACTAATCTCTATCTCACCACCGTGCGATTCATTATCACACCGATTGCCCGCATTATAGGTATAAATAAAAAGTAAACGATGGTGTAAGAAAAAAAAAAGCCGATCGCCATTCCTTTTAAAACCGTTTTTAACACATTCTCCTAAAAGATGGCGGGCAAAGGATAGGCAGTGTGAAATGCAGGCACTTAACCTATATCTAAACGAGCGGGCTTGCCTCTCCCACCATCACTACAGACCCACCTTCCGTCCGCCTCCACACGCATTCAACTTCACGCAAGTCGGACAGCCGCTAGTGAATTTAGCAACAAACTTCAAAAGCGTTAACTATGTTATGTCCGCGCGCAGCACGTTAACCACAACCCCCGCCTACACCAGCTAACCGAAACCGGGCTTTGTTGCATTGTTGCAACACAGAGGCAGCTTTGTCGGAATAAAAACATAACAAGCAGTTCTCCTAGGCTCAATGCGTTTTTTAAGGAAATACTTCGAGCTTTCAAAATTGAATTGCGGAATGCCCTTACTCAATAAGCACTAATGAGGGAGGGGAATATTTGAACGTATTACTTCCTCGACGACTCCGATAGCGTTTTGCTTGTAGTCTTCCTAAAAGCTCCTCTTTTATTAGAGCAACGCTAAAGAGCATAAAGATGAGGCAGAAGAAATGCCGCCCCCCCTCCTGCGCATGCGCATCGCTGCTATATGCGCGTCGCCTGGTGAGCCTGTCGGGTTCAACAGCCAGGACTACGTTTCCCGACAACCAACGCTACTGCCTGCACCGCCACTCAGTTGTTCATTCTCTGTAGACACTTTGATCGCCACAAAACGTGTGTCACCACGGCTTGTTTGACAGGTTTGCCTAATTAAAACACAATGGATGAAATATCATAAAAATCTCACACGCGAGCAGCGAAACAATGTAAATATTTTCAATAAGACGTGTAACAAGGGTCATAGTGGATACATGTAATCAGAGCTATACGTAGATTTTCGATAGATACTTTATTAATTCCGAAGCTAATTAAGATTCCATAAATATTACAGTAAATATATGACTGAAATACACACATATCTAACTTGATGCATTTACCCTCCGTCCTGTAGTGCATTCAAGGCATCACAGAGCACAAGGCAGAGCTACACCCTGCACTGGGCACAAAACATGGTTACAATTTATCTATATTTAAATTGGTAACAACAAGAACTCTCTATAGGTAGTTTACCGGTTAGCTTAATTTCATACCTTTGAACTGCGGGAGGAAACCAGTTCATCCTGTTAGCCCATACCTAACTTTAGGAAGTATACCTGTTGGTTTGGCAATGATGCAATTCTTGAGATTGACATTGCTGAATAAAAAGAGGTTGATTCTCTGAAATCAAATATTTATTTATTTGTTATTAAGGGAAGGAAACGACGGAAATGAAAGTGGTTGTCATTGTTGACACACCATAGCACACAGTGCACAACAATGAAATGTGTCCTCTGCATTTAACCCATATGTGACATTGTGACATGGCTGGAGGCAGATAATTCATTGCCCAGGGAGCAGTTTTTGGGGGTGGTGCTTTGCTGAGGGTACCTCAATGGTACTTTTCTGTTCAATTCAATTCAATTTTATTTATATAGCACATTTTCACAACATTACATTGTGTCAAAGTGCTTTATATTATCCCTGCCAAAAGCCCCCAATGAGCAAGCCAAGATACAGGATACAAGAGATACAAGATACTTTATTCGTCACATACATGGTTATACAAGTACAACATGTAGTGAAATGTACCGTGAAAGACCCTTAGACTGTGCAAATCAAATAAAAAGTTCAAGTCAACAAGTTGAAAATCTTACAACTAAAACTAAAAACTAAAAAGTTACAAAAACTAAAAATGTTCACATAATATAGAGAAATACAGAAGGTCTAATATAGAAAATAATTTTAAGGTTAAAACTGTACATGTGCATGTGGCGACAGTGGCAAGGAAACACTCCCTAGAACCCTATTATTCAAATCATGGTCTTCGAGGTCCGAGCCCTGCTGGTTTTCCAGCCTTCCTTTTCCTGTGAGTCAGGTGTGAAGCCTCTGACCAATCAGAATCAGTAACTATTAAACTAACTACCTGGAAGAATTGAAAACAAGGCCTGGATTTGGAATCGAGGTCCAGATTTGAAGAATTCTGCCCTAGAAGGAAGGAACCAGACTCAAAGGGGTAGTCCATCCTTAAGGGGCCGGCAGAGGAAGTCAAATAAGAAAGTTGGCGAACTCCCAATTCACACTGTCCAATCTTAACATGTGAGTTTCAAAGTGGGGGGCAGGCAGGTGCTCGTGCTACTTCTGATGGCAGGATGAACAGTGGTACGGCAGCAGGGCATTCAGGGAAAAAAAATCACTGGCAGAAGGGCGAGCAGGCTGGAAAGACTCCACAAGTAGTGGAGGCATTGCAGGCAGCAGGGAAGGCAGAATATCTTGATAATTTGGGGTCTCCAGGCAGCACAGCCCAGGAGGAGTAGGGGATATAAAAGGAGGAGTAGGGGATAGCCAAAGTAGGGGAGACTAGAGTCCGTGCAAACAGATGAATGCAATATGTAAGCCAAGCAGATATGGTTATGGCAGCACAGGTAGGATGGAGAGCAAGTAGGAACGCAGGCATGGGGAGTCCCTGAAACGTCGGCGCTCCAATTCCAAAGGGGGTGTGAAGCTAGAGTGACAGCACTGACAGTTCAGTTCAATGGCACTGATCCCCACCCAGCTCTACACCTCACACTGTAGACTTAACTGGGGTGAGCAGTTAGCTAGAGTGAGAACTAGAGTCCCCAAAAGCTAAGAACTAGAGTCCATATAAGCTAGAGAACTAGAATCCATGAAAGCTAGAGAACTAGAGTCCATATGAGCTAGAGAACTAGAGTCCATATAAGCTAGACTAAACAAGTGTGTTTTTAGTCTAGACTTGAATATTGAGCGTGAGCCTGAATCTTGCACATCCAGTGGAAGACTATTCTATAGCTGAGGAGCTCTATAAGAGAATGTATGTAGTTCCTTCTACTCTAGGTAATAATAGATATTCTGTTCCTTGAGACTGAAGCAAGCAAGGGTTGTAAGAGGCCAGTAGATCTCTAAGACATTCTGCTTAGAATTTTTAGAATTTAGTGATCATTGTTGATACACCACAGCACACAACAGCGAAATGTGTCCTCTGCATTTAACCCATATGTGACATAGCAGGGGGCAGCTAATTCAGCACCCAGGGAGCAGTACCTTGCTCAGGGTATCTTAGTAGTGCCTTGCTTGTCAGGGATTTAAACCCACAATCCGTCAATTACAACTGTGTTTCCCTAACCATTAAGACACCACTGGTACAATGGTACAGACATTGGTATAAGGCCATTCAGTGCTTTTCAAGTTAATAGCAGTATTTTGTAGTCAATCCAAGACTTAACTGAAAGCCAGTGAAGGAAACATAGAACAGTGGCCTGTACTACGAAGCAGGGTTACTGGCTTATTGGGGTAACTTGTCGGATTTAAGGTACCACAGTTTAAATGGACTTCATATTCATTTACTTACATTTTGCCCAGACTACCTTAAATCCGACAAGTTAATATGATCAAATTGTTTAGTGTTTGTAAGAACTGTGGGTGCTGCATTTTGTACCAGCTGAAGTCTATGCAAGGATCCAGATGGGCAACCACAAAGGAGGACATTACAGATGTCCAGTCTGGAAATTAAAAAGGCATGTATTAATTTTTCTGCATCATGAAAGGAGACCATCTTCCGAAGCTTGGCTATGGGCCGTAGATGGTAGAATGCAGTTCTAGTAATACTTCTTGTGAGAGCATCGAAACATATATCTGAATCAACCAGGACACCACTCTGTTAGGCTTAGTATGAAGACCACCTAGACGGAGGTTTTCAAACTTATTTCCAGTAGCCTTGGGACCAAATAACAGTTTCTTCTGTGTTTAACATAAGGATTTTTTTAGCCATCCAACACCAGATGTCTAGTAGACAGTCTTTTAACCAAGAGAGCTGTGATGTATCATATGGTTTAATATATATATATATAAGACCTCAGTCTTTCAATTACAAGTGTACCTCCCTAATCACTTTACCTGAATATGTCATAATACAAGGGAAATATACCATTATGCGTGTTTATAGCTGAATAGCGAATTTGATACTTTAATTTAATTCTTGACTATAGTGGTAGGTGGCACTAGATATGTAGATACTCTCTTTTAAACAAATATAAGTATAGGAATATTATCTAGAGAAAAGAACATGTTGATAGACAAAATACAACCAGGAACTCATATAACATGACTTTTATACATAAAACAGACTAAAGATTTTAGATGTGTACTTGGGTGCATTTGGGAGCAAAAGAGTGATGTAAAACAATCATTGAAATTCAGATTTTTCAGACTAACAAAGGGATAGGATTGTTCCAAATAGTGTTACTATAATATTGACCCCGTTCAACTGAGACGTCTTGATATATTTCTGTTGTGTTAGAAGGTAGTAAGTACAGTATTGACATTGGCTTGTAGTCAAAACCACTATTGATTTACGCCTTGCAGAAATGACACACGCCGAAGATCCTCTGAGGAAAGTAAAAGCGATTCAGTTTAACGCAGAGATTGACGGATTGACCCTTAGCGGATGCCGTAATGTTGTAATACGCCTTAGCTTCAGACTGCACATGCGCGTTGGCTGTTCGATGCCACATTCCTCGCCTGAGCTTCGAAGCCAAAACGCTGCAGCTTCATTACTTGTTAGCCATCATCAAAAAGACAATTACAGTTACAGCCAGCTCATTGTTATATAAGAGGACTTTATACCGCCAGTTAATAACTCGTTAGGTGGGATTCAAAATAACCGCACATCGTTGCGCCAATCGCCAGAGCGTAAGTGTGTCCGCTTTTTATTGTTTGAATGGAGTAACAGGCTAAGCAATTAGCCAGTAATGCAATGCATTTAAAAAAATCCAGAAATGAAAATAGCATGCATCTGCTTTGCGTTAATCTGGGGAGTGGCTACGACCCTGGGATGTGTCAAGGTGTGAATGAAGAGCGTAAACACAGTGCTGAGTGCATGTAGGCATATAGTGCTGTTGTGGGATAGGACTCGTAAAAGGCCCCTTTTCAGCCCATAGCTAATAACTCAGCCAGTGCCGCCTCCTTTATGCCTGTCTTTTTGGCCAGAATTAATTCCAAATAATGTGTTGTTTCTTTAATATATGTAATCCATTCATAAATGTAACTAGCTTTAGACGTAGTCGGTGATGTGATGTCTGAAGCTGGCGGTAGTGGATGGTCATGCAGTATTAATCATACACACGTGTCGTGCCGTACGTACATAATTGGCAAAATTTAACGCGGCCGTAGCTGATTTTAGAGATTTGAAGGATTTCTTTCATGCGGGCCGGCATGCGTATTTGTATAAGCGTTGGTAATGGTCCTTTACCTCTTCTCCTCCAAAAATTTGCAGACCCTTAATGCGTATGAGGTATACGTCTGTGTATTGTATACCTGCCACTCTCCAATGTAATGGGTAAACAACGTGGGATCAGAATTTGAACATTTGTCACCGACTTCACAGACAAGTATTACATAATTTCACTTATGTTGACTTCTCTGCCCTGTTGTTATCCGAAATGCACTTTTCTGTTAAGCACTATAAAATATTAGTTATTGCTTCGTCTCCGCCAACCTACCTCCACGATCTTCACGATTATTACTTATAGCCGAACGTCAGTTGTATCTGTTTCTAAAAAAAATAGAATGTTTCGATCTGATAGATGAACTATTTTTCTTTACATATATTAGCCTTTGAAACTTGGGAGTAGCCCAAGTGTGTTTACTAAGAAATAAAAGCAACAGTGTTGCAGCCTGTTTGTTGAGCAGGTAAATCTTTTGTCTAGTACTGAGAAGCTTTTCCCCCTTTTTTTTTCTTTCAGCTTTTTCACTGTTGTGAGTGATTAATTTTTTCAGTCGATCTTTTCTTTCTTCATGCCGCTGTTCCATACCAAGGCTTTGGGTGTTTTCCCCTCATTGTCCAATCCCACTAGGCAGTTAACTAATGCCGGCGATTTCCCAGACCAGTTCATCTAGTTTGTGCTAGCAGCTTGACCCTAAGCATTTTATTCATTTGTAAACCTTTGATACCTTTAGATTAGGGGTGACAGTCTCCAGTCCTGGGGGGCCAGAGCCCTATGCATCTTTGGGTTTCCCCTCATTTAACTCACCTGATTCACCTTCTTGTGCTAATTACCACACAGCTCTTGAGCTGAATCATTTATGGTGGAACAGTGAAAGAACTAAGCAACACAGGGCTCCGGCCCTGCAGGACTGCAGTTTGACACAAATGCCTTAGATGATAAATTCCTTCAATGTCCACCTAATGAGCAGTGTAGGTCATGTGTGTTTCCATGGTAGCACTGTGCCTGTCGTATAACAGTAATATCTACTTTTGTGATTTGAGATAAAACCGTAGCGGCTCCGTTTCTTTACGAGTACTTTTTAATTATTAATTTGAGTTTGGACCCTGAAGCTGGACTGCTTTTGTTATGCTAGAACCTTGAAAAGGGCTAAATTGCACTGAGCCGGTATGTAGCTATACAGAAGAGCAGTATATCCCCTTGCAGGCGTTAAGGTCAACCTGTCAGCAGAAGTGAGTGTCGCTGTTTTAGAAATGGCTCACTTTTATGGTTAGAGAATCAGAGTGGATTGCAGATAATAATCTCTGTCTGCCATGTATGTCTGAGCGTTGGGTATCAGCTTAGCCTCTCTCACCAAAGCCACACATACTGTAATATTAGTCAGCCAGAGAAAAAAAAAAACTACCAATATCCATCCATCCATCTTCCAAACTGCTTGGCGGGAGGGTCCGGAGCCTATCCCGGAAGCTATGGGCACCCCAGGATGGGGGGCCAGCCCAACACAGGGCACACTCACCTATGGGCAATGTCATTAACCCCAATAAGCCTTAGCATGTCTTTGGACTGTGGGGGGAAACCAGAGTACCCGGAGGAAACCCCACGACGACACGGGGAGAACATGCAAACTCCACACACATGTAACCCAGGCAGAGACTCAAACCCAGGTCCCAGAGGTGTGAGGCAACAGTGCTAACCACTGCACCACCATGCCACCCATATATATATATATATATATATATATATATATATATATATATATATATATATAAAATATAATATTTAAAACATATTTTTCCTCTCCTTCCTTGCTTTTTTTTTTACTCTTCAAATTGACTTACTGTCAACTTGTTGTATTTCCTCACCTTAAAAAACAAACAAAAAAAAAACAAATAAAAATAACATTCTGTGGTTCTCCCTTAGAATCACAAAAAATAGCCACAACGGCTTTTGATGTCTGCAGATTTAGCAATCGTTTATGAACCTCGTTAAGACTTTTACGGTTGAATCAAAGGAGCAGGGGCACCACGGGGGGGGGGCAGTTAGGATGATTCCAAGGGCCCCTGAGTGACAGGGGCCCAAAAATATAGGACATAATTACAGTCCTACGCCCGTCTCCTTCACAGCTCCGCCGCAGCGGCACCCATCCCTGCGATCCTGTAACCATGGCAACCGAGGAGAAGAAACCGGAGGCCGAGGCCGTGAAGGCGCAGACCGCCTCGTCTGCCTCCGCCAGTCAAAGCAAGGTAGGGGCCTTCGCTCGCGTAGCACGTGACCCACCTGTTCGCCGGGTCACGTGCAGTAAATGACTCGCAAGTTGCGAAACTGTTCAGCTTCTCTCCTAATCGCTTTATCTGAAGTGAGCTGTGCAGTATTAGATTTGACCGTGATGTGTTCCAGAGTGGAAAATTAAATTCTGAAAATCCATTCGGTGTCGCGTGGAAATTGAACTAGGAAACATACATCACGCTGCATTTGATTTTATTTTATTAATTCCTGTTACTCAGCTGGTACTTGGCAGGTATGTTAGCTGCTTAGAAACAGAAGGGCATTAATCTCTTTGGTCTTTCCAGATTTGAATCACAGAGTATAAACCCCCCACCCTCTATCTCTGTAAGCTGGATATGGAACAGATTTCCTCTGTTATGAGAGGAAATTCATTTTTGAGATTAACTGCTCTGAAAACGATCGGTGTATGATATTGTCAGTAGGTTATATATCGGTGAATACTTTGTGTGTATATTTGTGTGTTAAACATGTCCTTTTGTCCATCTTCCATAATCACCTATCCAGTGCTGGGTCATAATGTGTGTTAAATATGTATCGAGCTATTAGATCTGACCACATACGTATCGCCTTGTGGTTATGTTTGATCGTATCGTTTTTTCTTGGTGCTTTGTTCGTTTTGCTGTAGTATTGTAATTTGGTTTTTAAATCGTAAAGCGCTTTTTGACTGTGTGCGGAAGGTGCTGTGTCATTGTTTGCCAACCCTGTCCTCGGGACCCCCAGACACCAGGAGCTGGTGGGGATCGAAAACCTGGACCGTCTGGGGGTCCCCAAGCACCAGCTTAGGAAACACTGTGCTATATCAATAAACTGTGCCTGCATGTATGATTGGTTCTAGTGGTTGGGGGGGTTGCGCTGTCGCCTTTGCCTTCCATGGTTGGGGGTTCAGATGCTGCCATTGACTTTCTGTGTGTGTGGAGCCTGTATGGGCTCCCCATGTGTGCAGGGTTTTTATTCTGTATTCTCTGGTTTCCTTCCGCTGTCCAACCCATTGTGTCTGTCTGTCTTTGTCTATATCTGTTCCTGTTCCTGTTTGTCTTTGTCTGTGTCTGTCTGCCTGTCTGCCTGTCTGCCTGTGTCTGTCTGTCTGCCTGTGTCTGTCTGTCTGCCTGTGTCTGTCTGTCTGCCTGTGTCTGTCTGTCTGCCTGTGTCTGTCTGTCTGTCTCTGTGTCTGTCTGTGCCTGTGTCTGTGTCTATCTCTCTTTGTCTGTCTGTCTCAGTGTCTGTCTGCCTGTGTCTGTCTCTGTCTTTGTGTCTGTCTCTGTGTCTGTCTGTGCCTGTGTCTGTCTCTCTTTGTCTGTCTGCCTGTCTTTGTCTGTCTGTCTCTGTGTCTGTCTGTGCCTGTGTCTGTCTCTTTTTCTGTGCCTGTGTCTGTCTCTCTTTGTCTGTCTGTCTCTCTTTGTCTGTCTGTCTCTCTTTGTCTGTCTGCCTGTCTTTGTCTGTCTGCCTGTCTTTGTCTGTCTGCCTGTCTTTGTCTGTCTGCCTGTCTTTGTCTGTCTCTTTGTCTGTCTGCCTGTGTCTGTCTGTCTGCCTCTGTGTCTGTCTGTCTGTCTCTGTGTCTGTCTGTCTGCCTCTGTGTCTGTCTGTCTGTCTCTGTGTCTGTCTGTCTGTCTCTGTGTCTGTCTGTGCCTGTGTCTGTCTCTCTTTGTCTGTCTCTCTTTGTCTGTCTCTCTTTGTCTGTCTCTCTTTGTCTGTCTCTTTGTGTGTCTGTCTCTTTGTGTGTCTGTCTCTGTGTCTGTCTGTCTCTGTCTCTGTGTCTGTATGTCTGTCTCTGTGTCTGTCTGTGCCTGTGTCTGTCTCTCTTTGTCTGTCTGTGCCTGTGTCTGTCTATCCCCTGCGATATGCTCCAGGCTTATTTTGACCCCACAGTGGACAAGTGGACCGGGAATGTTGATGGGTTTGATGGAATATACTATATACTGTTAGTAATAAAATTAGTCTTGGCTGCACATTTGCTTGCTTTTTGCTGCTGTAAGCCTCGCATTCTGACCCTGCGCTGCATATGTCACGCAGTCTGCGCCGGTGAAGCCCAACTACACCCTGAAGTTCACACTAGCCGGCCACACAAAAGCTGTCTCCTCTGTCAAGTTCAGCCCGAGCGGCGAGTGGCTGGCCAGCTCATGTGAGTACCTTGCTGGTAGCCTCTCCGCTAAATGCCATTGGCCCAGATCTCCCGGCTCCACCCCCTGACCAATGGCCATCAAGCCAGTAGCTTGATTGACACATTGACCTGGCTTTTAATGGGTCAGTAGCAGCAGTTCTGATTCCCTGTTGCCATTTAGAGGTAAATGTCTGATTAAACACTTCAGTGATCTTAAGTAACACTGAAAATACAGAGCACATGTAAAAGACCAACCTGTCATATTCATAACTCACCTCTGTAGCCGGGGACCCAGCTGTTTTATCGTGGACAGGGGCTGGTGTCTGTGAGCTCTGAGCAAGTCTTTAGCGTTTAAGGAAGGGACAATATTGAGGCTTTTGTACTTTGCTGAACAGCTGCTGATAAACTGATCAAGATATGGGGAGCCTACGATGGCAAGTTTGAGAAAACGATATCCGGCCACAAGCTGGTAAGTAAAGGCGTGGCTCTTCGGAGACGGCCGTCGTTTTGGGGAGGACGCTCGCTGGAGCTGCTTCAGCTTGGTTTGGGAATGACTTTCTTTAGAGAGCCCTAGTGTTTAATGTACCATCAGTCAAGGAAACATTTATATTCTCTGTATAGTTAAAGGAGAACCTGCTCAGGGTGGGGGTGGGTGTTGGTCATTTCTTCTTACATTATCTGTCTGATTCCTCCAGGGCATCTCCGACGTAGCCTGGTCCTCCGACTCCAATCTGTTGGTGTCCGCATCTGATGACAAGACCCTGAAAATCTGGGATGTCAGCTCGGTGAGTGAGCATTGGGGGTCTGTGTGATGTGCCGTGCGGTGCCATGCCATGGGAGGGGGGGGGGAGTGATAAGCCAGTCAGAAATCGAAACTTAGGAGGGCAGAAGTGAACATTCAGAGGTATTTCAATCGTGACTTTTAAATGCTTACATGGTGCTGCTGTGAGCATGTGCCTGTGTTTATTTGGCAATGACTGCGTAAACTATAAATGTAGGAAAAATGGAAGAATAAACGTATTTTGCCAATTGACAAACAAAGCCTTCCTGTAATTCAGACATCTTTGTGTAATTGAAGAGCACACAACCAGTGATTTATTTACTTTAAAAAAAATAAAATAAAAATTCTCAGGCACAAAATCCTAACTAAACACAACAGAAGGCTGTCTCTAATTAAATACTTTTTTCCAATTTTGAGCACAACAAATATAGAAATTACAAAAACACTTAGTCACATATTTCCTTTGCCCCTTGGTTTAAAAGCATCTCGCTTATTGCTATGGTGATGGTGTTAAAAATATAAATGCGGGATTACCATGGTAACTGTGCAGCAGTTCCGTGCAGCAGCCGGGAATACCCCCGAAGCGGCAGAGTGCAGGTGTGGAAGGATTGTTTGTCCGGCAGTGACACCTGTGGTCCTCCTTTGGTAATGCATCTTTTTTTTGGGCAGGGTAAATGTTTGAAAACACTAAAAGGTCATAGCAACTACGTCTTCTGCTGCAACTTCAACCCGCAGTCCAACCTCATTGTGTCTGGATCGGTGAGTCCACACTCTTCCTGTTGCTTCTCCAGTCTTTTTCCATGACAGCTTAGCATAGTCCATACTACACTCCTGTCGTTCCTGCGGGTTGTGTGTACATTCCTCATTCAGCCGTGTATGCAGATGGTAATGGTTGGTTCCTATGTACGGCAATGATATTCCACCACAGTGTTACAGAGCAGATGTTGTCATCTTGGTCTGAATGAATTCTACTCTTAGCAGTGTTTGGGTAGATTCTCTCCATGAGTTTGTGTACTAGAATACATCTTAGTGCTCATTCAGTGATGGGTTTTATGTTTTTATATATGAGTTGTTCCATATTAAATCACCCAGTTTGAGAACTTTCCCAGTTCACCCTGTCAGATTCCTCTGAAAAAATTCACAGGAACTCCTACACCAAACTTACTTTTGAAATTTTGCAGTAAGTGTGCACTGATGTACAAAAAAGTCCACTAGAACCAAAATTTGGGCTGCATGCGCACGGTCTACACGGGCCCCCCCCAAGGGAGGAATGTGAAACCCTAATGGTTCCCGCCCCCGGTGCTGAAAAACTGTCCCCGTTGGGTTGTCTCCATAGTTTGATGAAAGCGTGCGGATATGGGACGTGAAGACCGGGAAATGCCTGAAGACACTGCCCGCGCACTCCGACCCAGTCTCAGCGGTGAGGACGTGTACCACGTGCACCATGCTGTTACTGTTCTATCAGTGATTCACATTAATTCTAATACCTAACACCTGCCCCCCCCCCAATTCCAGGTTCATTTCAACAGGGACGGCTCCCTGATAGTCTCCAGCAGCTACGACGGCCTTTGGTAAGATTCTCTTGCTGACCTTAATTTGAATACCACTGCGGCTCCGGACACCTTATCAGAACATCTCCGTCTTTTTGTCTGCTTCCAGCCGAATCTGGGACACGGCGTCGGGACAGTGTCTCAAAACGCTCATCGGTGAGAGGAGTTTTGTTTTTGACCTACTGTGGTGTAAGACGACGAAGAACAGAGTGCAGTATATGTTTTAGCGTTTCGGCTGTTTTCTTTGTGACTCAAACCAGTGTCTTTCCAGTAATGAAACAAGCGAGCGAGTCGCAGGGAAGTTTCCGTAGTAGACTGTCTTTGTTCTGTTTGGTCTTTATACATATCCCTGTTGCCCCTGGCAACCTTCTGGGTGGAACAATCGGTTGTCCAAATGTATGACTGAAACGCTGATGTTGTTGGCAGATGACGACAACCCTCCAGTGTCATTCGTGAAGTTCTCACCCAATGGCAAATACATTCTGGCTGCCACCCTCGACAAGTGAGTGATGCCACCCCCCAAAAAGGATGTTATGCTGGCTTATTTGAATGAGGCTTGCCCCACCCCCCAAAACCAGATATAAATCAGACCATATTTATATGACGTATATTCACCAGGTCATTTGTGTTATTTCTAGTACCCTGAAACTTTGGGACTACAGCAAAGGAAAGGTAAGGATTGTATTATTACACAACTCTAACCAGAAGAATCAGCTACTAGCTGAAGCTGCGATCTGCTAAATGTTTTAGTTTTTCTGGAATTTTCCTTTGTTTGAAAAGGCATTTTTGTTCAGTAACAGATGTAGCATTGTCTTCCTGACTGTTCATAGTAAGTAAATGTATGCATTTTTTTGTTTCAGTGCTTAAAAACCTACACCGGTCATAAAAATGAGAAGTACTGCGTGTTTGCAAACTTTTCCGTCACTGGTGGTAAGGTACGCGACTTCCACATCTCTATCAAAATGTCAGTGTATTTGTGATGCTGAGAAGCTGGTAAGGTCACTGTATTCCTTCTACAAAAGCAGACGGTATCACCAGTGAAATCCCCCAAACCTCATTGCTTTGGTAACATGTTCCCGTCCTGGGGCTACTGGCCTCAGTCTCATTGGCTGTTTGAGCTGCATTGATTATTGATTATTCATTGTCCACGTCTTCTGCCCCCTAGTGGATAGTCTCAGGCTCGGAGGACAACATGGTGTACATATGGAACCTGCAGACCAAGGAGATAGTTCAGAAGCTTCAAGGCCACACAGGTATTGAGATGACATCATTGTGTTGGCCTTTGATGCGGTGGTTCCGCCTTGAGGGTGGGGGGGGGGGGGGGGTGTGGCGTGTTCGACACTGAACCCTGTTGTCTCTTTCCACCTCCCAGATGTGGTGATCTCCACCGCCTGCCACCCCACAGAGAACATCATCGCGTCTGCAGCTCTAGAGAACGACAAGACCATCAAACTGTGGAAGAGCGACTGCTAAGCCCCATCTATGGCCTGTTGTTTCATTTGATTGCTTTAGTTAGGATTGTTTTTTTTTCTGTCCTCTTGGAAAGAGAACTTTAATGCCAGGATGGTCACATGTGACCCGTGGATCCACCCCCACCCCCTTTCCACAAGAACTGGTCCAGGGAAAAGGGGTCCAGCAAATCCGAAACAGTCACCCAGCATCAAAACCAAATCTGTCTCCACTTACTGAAAAAATCTGTTTCCTTCTCTGTCTCTCTCCTTAAAGAGGCCCTCCAATGAAAAGAACTTTGTTTTGTACTATGAGAACTTACATGTTCTCTTGCCTCCCCAGACCGAAGCTTCTCGTCTTGTTCCTGTTGCCCGGAGACCACTTTCCGAAGTGCCATAGAGTCTGTCTACTCTCTGCCTCTAAAACAAGTTGGTCTGATTAAAGTGAAGCAGTCTCTTACATGTGATATTTATTTTTTTGGGGGGTGGGGGAATTCAGCAGGAGTTCTTCGAAGCCTTAAGCTGAGAAGCTTTAAAGTCTAAACCTATCAGTCACTGGGCATGTGTGCTGTCCGCAGCAGATCACACTTGAACAAGCCAAAATGCTAATGCATTCTAATTAGCAAACACTAGCTATAAAATCTTTGGCTTTTAAGTTTGACGTAGCCATTTTTCAGTATTTGTAGTGTTTAGCTTTAATAGACCGCAGTATATAACACCAATGATTTTTTTGTGGAATACTTTTTTTTTTTGAACCAGCCTTTTTACTTGTGAAGAGCAGAATTGTTTTACAAGGCTAATGCAGTTCATATTTTCACTACTGTTGCTACAAAAGGGGTTTCGACTTCAGAATCCACAGAGGAATTTGTATGGCCAGTTGCCCAGATGCCTTTTTCTGACATAAAAGCGATTGCTTTGTGGGTGTCACAGTAGTTCGAGAAGAGCAAATAGCCTGCCCCAGTATCGTGTCCGAACTTTGGGAAGATTTCTGGCATTTGGATCTGCCTTGATACCACACAACACAACCTCTTATAGGCAGGAAGTCAGGCCATGATGATGATGTAGTTCACCGCATCCGTACTCTCCACAAACGGCCATTGTTCTGCATAATCCAAACCCACCCTTAGACTTTCTGGATGAAGATGAGTCTTTGGTGTTTCCCTGTGCAGTTGCTGTAAGATCTATAGCTCCTGTCACACTTTCACTGTAGCAGTACTCCAACGAAATCGTTGTTCCCAAAGTTTGTTTTCTCCTACCCCCCCCCCACCTCTTGTATGGCATTTTTTGGGGGAAAACTTCCAGTCACAGATTTTTCTCAAGGAATGCAAGCAAGCCAGCTGTAATGCTTGGGAACGGAGGCTGTCAAGTTACTGTGACTGCATTCACCCGTCAACTATAACCTTTAAATATTTTTGGCTTTTTACACTCTGCCTTTCAATCGCGCCACACGGGACTACGTAAAAACTGCAAGAGATCGCCACTGTAAAGCTGCTTTGTAAGGATTTTTTTTTTTTGGTGCTATAAAATTGTGCATTGAAAATGTGGACAATATTTGTTGAACCTGATTTATTATTTCAAGGGTGTAAGTTGCAGTAAAATGGTTAAATGTTTGACCACAAATCCTTTGAAGTACAAAGAGCACATTGGATACATTTCCTGCCTTAGACTATCCTTGTTTCTTCGTAAGTCCTGTTGATTTGTCATCTTGAAACATATTTCCCCTTTAAGGCTGATTATCAGAACAGGACTTGGAATGAGATCCAGTCAAATTAGAAGCAGGACCATCTTATCACAGGTGCTTTGGAAAGTAAACTGTTCTTACCCTTGTGATTTATTACGCTTAATGGTTTTGGTTGACATCCAGTCTTATTTTCCTGATGGTACAATATAACTGATTGATAATTTATTTGGTCACTAGGCTCGCCAAATAAAACCGAAAAAATGGACTGTATATATGCAGAAATTTCATGCTTATGTATTAGTAAAACAGCAAAATTACCACGTTTCAACTTAATTTTCTTTTTAATATATGCATATATTATATATATACACTTTAGCTGTTAGGATATAAAAATAACTTTTTTCCTCATATAGATAAATTTAGGGATGGGGAAAAATATGTCAAATCTTTGACTACCTTTCTTGGTCTGAAGGATGCAGTGTTAAGAAGGGCTGCATGGTCACCACACCTGTATTATTCTGGATTCTGTGAACATGCATTTTGACAGTAATAACCTGTGACTCAATAAAGTAATTTTTTACATGCACCTCTGTGTTACTGTTGAGTCAGCAGAACAATCTGGCTGACCAAAGAAGCTTTATTTTTAAAGAGTAACATTTTTTAGTCAACACGTGATGGGGGAAGTGGTACATTTTGGTGCCAAGAAATAGGGAAAATGATAGTATTTATTTTTTTTAATCTTTTCTTCATTGAACGAACATTGTAGAAGAACCCACAAAGAAGAGATGAGTATTTTTCTCAAAAATAGGGGAAAATGACAACAAAGGACAGAGTCCACCTTCAAAGGATGGACCACAAGAATTAAAAAATAAAAAACGAGGCCAACATGAAAGGTGACAGGCGTGAGCATTGACATCCACCCTTTAACGCCATTGTTTTTTGAAGCTGTTTAAAAATAAACATTTACAGAAATAATGTATACAACAGCCCACATGATGATGTACATAAGCAAGGGAAATACATTTGTACAAAAATAGATTTTTAGACGTAGATCTTTTTAATTTTTTTTTTTATTATTTTTTTATTTTTTCGCTAAATGTCCACAGCTAAAGCGAACGACTTGTGTTGGGCTATCGGAAGGTACTTTGCAGGCCACCGTAGGTCCAGGTTTGTAGCGGGACAACGTGATTTCGCGTCCGTGGAGATATGCCGCAGTTTTCCGATCCGATGGCATTACTAAATGCTGATTTTTAGGGCAAAAAACAAGAGGCCCTGTACAAACAGATGAATGAAAACCGCACATCACAAAGTATTTCTGTGCCCGTTTTCGCCTGACTTTACAGACGTAATCCTGTCCCTCGTTTTCCCCCACATTAACCAGTAACATTTAACAGATTTATAAATATACATACATATACATATAGACAAAATATAGCTTTGTGTTATGTATAAAGCATTAACGTATGCATCGATGTTTCAGCGGACCGTTCTCAGCAGATATTTCAAAGTCGGTTTCCTGTGAGAGATCCTTCACTGTGCTCTTACACGCTTTCTTATGGCTTTATTTTTTCATTTGGAGAAGCCTGGACCGCACTCCAAACAGACCACCCGGGTATAGACAACCTCAATGGGCCGATTGCACCGCTGCAGAAACAGGAGAGCGCTATCGGCTCTACTTGGCTTAAGTAAAAATAAAGATAAAAACTTTGACCTTACAAAGTTGTCATAAAAAGGAAAGATACACTCAGTAAGTGTTCACCGTCAATTTGAGTTGGAGTTTTATTTCATGCTGGCAGAAAGGGGTTTGTGTCTAGTTTTATATTACACTCATTACATTCGCATTTCATAGACGATTTGTAAAAATGCCTTTTGTGTAATTTGACCGTCATAATGCTGATGTTGCATTTGCGATCACTGACACGAACGCCACAGTTTCCAGGTCTTTGCCGAGTGTTACTTTTTGTCTGATTGTGCCGCATTTTACTTGTTAATCGATTTTCACAATCGGGACCTGAGTTTCTCAGAAATCAAGGCAAGTCCACCTTAGACTTTCGAGGCTAAGAAACCGTAATTAGCTCCAAACGGGACGAAAACATCCATGTTTAATTTAAACTAAAGATGACATTCAGTTCTCGTTATCTCAGGACACGGATGGTGTTACAAGTGTCTTAAAGACAAATAAAAACGGAATCATGATAATCACGTATATTCATGATAATACACTACAAAATATACAAAATATGCGTCCTTACAGTAAACTGAGTGTATTGCTGTTTTAAAATTATAATTATTATTTTTTGCTTAATTACAGATGGATTTATTTACCCTTTTCACCAGTGCATAATCCAGCGGGTTGTTTCCTTAAACAATGATTTTAAAAACCAACAAGTTTCCGTCATTTTTAAGCTTAAATACTACATTTGCATTTTTCCCCAAACTGGACACATTTCAACCCATTTACCCTGTTGGATATTTTTCTGAAGCAATTCGGGTCAAATATCTTTCTCCAGAGTACGACACCATAGCCACTAACAGATTTTGAACATTTTGGTTACAATTACATATAGTTTATCACTATTATATGCAATGAAATAATAACAGATGTTACATATAAACTTAATCTCACTTTTACTACACTTTAAATGAACTGTTTTAATACTGGGCGGATGAAACAGATGCTAATTTTGCACTGGTGCATAGGCCTGATAAAATATGGCCAGTAATTACTAGTTTGTTACTGGCATTGTCAACTCCATTACAAAGTGCCATTTGTCTGATTAAGTACTTGTACAAAAATTCAAGTAATTTTGCAGTGTTGTATTTTTTCCACTAGAGGGTAGTAACAGCTCTCTCATTCCCCGATCGTGGCAGTCAGACCATCCACTGTACCTGCCTGACAGGGTCACTGCCTTGTTCACATCTAAAGAAACCTTCTGTCTTTGTACTATGAAGCAAAAAAAAAAAACGTATATGGACAATCTTTGGATACGGCACATACACACATTTGCAGCAGCATATAAAGAAAATAAAAGTAAAGCCAAGTGGGTTATGTGGTAAAGTCGGGAACGGTCAGTGAATATGATGGGATCTCTGCAGCCTGCAGGAGGTCTTGCAATAACATCTCTTGGAACCAAAGGAAGGTGGGGGAGGACTCGGGGGGGGGGGGGGGGGGGGGGGGGGGGGGGGGGGTTGGGAGTCGGAATGGCCCCCGATGCTACAACTGCTCTGGTCCCCCCCACCGAGGTAGAATGAGCGAGGCAGAGCCTTTGCTGAGAAGCCCTGTTTGAGTGCCAGAGGATGGGGAACTGGACACAAACAGATTCTAGGTTCTACTGCATAGGTATTTGTTCCGTGAACTACCGACTTCCACGGGTCACGTGCTGCTGAGTACTAACCCCCCCCCCCCCCCACCACACCCGCAAGTTAGGGGCTGGAACAGTGGGTTACAAAAGAATTGCACGACTGTAGAACGCTACCAATACTGCATCTGGTGATGATGAATGTAGGATGTTGAACTGTGACGATGCCCCTCAGCATGAGGACCAAGGGGGGGGACAGAGAGGTCAGGGGGTGGGGGACGGCACCCCGAAGCACCACTTCGTTAGCTCTGACGAAAACACACCGCCTCCTTTTCTGCCTCCTAGTCCCTGTTCTCCTCTTCCAGCTCTGTCGTTTAGGCCAGGAAGCGGCGCACATTTTCTCCGTGTCCATGCCCTGCCCCCCCCCCCCTCCAGGGCTGAGAACGGCACAATTGTCCCAGTAAACGCTCAGCATCCTATGAAAAAAAAAATCTTGCTGCTCGTAACGCATTTCAAAAACTTCCGGAGCAGGTCTTCAGACCCCTTTCTCACGCACTTCTGGAGCTGCACCCCCCACCCCACTTTGACGGCACCTCAGTCCCCTAGTTTTTTTTTTTTTTTTTTAAAAACAGTATATTTATATGTTTGTACAAAGTATAAAACAGACCCATAGAAGCGATGAGCTCATCAGACAGACGTGAAGCCAAGCTGGCGAGGGAGGTGGAGGGGGGGGGGGGGGGTTCTGGGTCACCAGTCTGTACAGATGGTTAGATTGCACGCCCCCCACCCCCCATCCGGAAATGGCAGGCCACGCCCCTCCCCCAACTATGTCATCTGATGCGGGGCTTCCAGCATCTCCATGAGGAAGGTGTCGATGGGCGTGTCTCCTATTAGCTTGAAGAAGAACAGGTGTTCCAGACACTTCAGCCCGATGGATCTCAGGGCAGGAAGGCGGAGTAACAGCTTGGCGAACCTGGAGCAAACCATACCGGCATTAAGCTCATGATGTGCAAGATGTTTTTTTTCTGACATTTTTGCATATAGTCAGTGGATAACACTCAAGGCCAGCCCAAGGCATAAGCGAACTGAACGGCTGCTTAGGGCCCAGTGGCCACCAGGGGGCCCCCCTCCATCTGATCGTCCTATCAGAATGGAAAGGAAGCTACAGTATCAAATGACAACTAGGTTTATCGAATTTTGCGCAGGGCCCCAAAGCAGATTTGGGGAACGTTATTTTTTTACACCGTTATAATAGCTGTTGTACTGATGCCCACGGCAAATTTATTTTGCCTTCACGGAAAAATTCCAAAACATGAATTGAGCAAATGCAAGGTGAATAATCAGCATGTTGTCAACTGATGAGCTACAGTAGTATACATTCTATTTATCTAGCAGACGCTTTTATTGAAAAAAAACATGCTTTGAGAAGACAAGGTCAGACTGTCTCCCGTATAATTGTGGATGAAGGGTATTGAACAAGGGTACAACAATGATATCACTCTGCTGCCTCTGGGATTTGAACTGGAGACCATCTGATCATGGATACAGTGTCCTAGCCCTCTGAACTACATACCAGCCCAGATAATAACTCTTCACTATAAAGACTGATAAGTTACCTGATCAAGGCAGTGATTCACTCTGGGGAGACTTTATAAAAACGGTCAATTGGATTGGCTACTTAGGAAGACAGGAAAAGGAAGGAACTGGGGTTGGTACCTCCCAGGCTGGTCCGGGTACTTCTGCTTGCAGTAGGCCTCCAGTGAGGCGTATACCTTTTCCCTCAAAGCCTCCACCTCCCCTGGGTTTGACAGGCCTTTGGAATCTGTGTGGTGGAGCAGGTGACAAACATTTATAACCCTTATAAGACGGGCCAGAATATCAGCGCCTGCAAGCCTCCGGTTCTGATGCGTCTGTCTACAGCACCACTTGGTGGATCACTGGGCTTGCATGCAGTACCGTGTTTGCTGGAGACATTGGTGCACCAGGGCAGCCTCCTACAATGCGTGTTTTCCATGAGACACCACAATTTATTCCATGTTTTTTCCACCCTGCCACTGTGTGATTCACAGATAGGCAGAGGAAGGATGTTGTGGGAACGTGTACTGGGGTTGGTTGCAGGTGATTGGAGGATCGGGGAGGTTACCTGGGTTAAAGAGGACGATGGCTCGAAGGCAGCCCAGCTCCGTCTTGTCCATCTGCATGTCCCTCATCTTGGACACCAGCTCTGTCAGCACCCTGAACACGGAGGAGAAACGTTTTTGACCAGTGCCCCCTAGGGATCATCTCATCACACGGCAACATTACTGCTGTGAAAAACCCACTTTATGCTGACAGACTAACTGCTGCCCTGTGACGTTACACTTCCGGGTCAAAGGGCATCCTGTGTATGATGTGTGAGAGGAAGCCACTGACTGCTTTCCTCATTCATCCGAACGAGCCGTCTGAAGGTCACCGTTAATAACTCACTCTGACATTTGGAACAATGAAAGCAAAGAGATCCAAGCATTTAGACTAACTGCATCTGTCCATCATGCTGTCAGTCCAAGAAGAATAAAAATTACCGGTCCTCTGAAATTTCCTCAGTACGGTTCAAAGACGCAACTTATCTAATTTAATCTGGTGGGAGATGGAAAGTTCAGTTTGTGCTCTTACGAGCAATTTTGGTCTTCAAAGTGCTGCAGAGAGCTTCACTGGTCATGTGACGTGGGATTAGCGTTACAGTAAGATGGAGGACATCATAGGGAAGACAATGGAAGCTGACACCCCCTTAACGATGGACAGCATCAACCCCTCATTAAATCAAGCTCTCAATACAGTCATTTGGCTTGAGATCTGGGGGGACCAACCTGTCGAAAATGGCCCCCACTCCGGCGCTGTGGGCACTGTTGCGGTGGACATGCAGGCCTGTAGCCAGAAGGATCCCGTCCTTGACGGTTATGGAGCGGTGCGAGAAGGAGGCGATCAGGAGTTCGTTCCACCCTGAGCAGAGAGCAGAGAGGAGGAAGGACAATTTTAGGTCCCCTCACATCAGTGGTGGCCAGGAGGTTCATTCCGGAACACTGTGTTCTTACATCAGCATGGCTGATAGGGGCCGGTAGGGAGGTGAAGCTGCCCCTCAGACCCACAACCGCCTTCAGCCACAAGGCCGCGTCCCACCTCCATGTAACCACATGGATTGGCAGGCCCAGATCAAACCTCTGGTCCCACAATGCTCCACGCTTTCCCAGGGTGGCGTGAAAACACACGGATGCCTGTTTTTGTTACCTTGGGGCTGTTGGGGGGGGGGGGACACTCATTCGCGAAGAGGAGGTTGCACTCGCGAGACTGTAAGTGCTGTGTGCGAGACAAGGGGGGGGGATTGGGAAAGGCGGCCGCCTTCCCCCGTGCCGCTGCGAACAGACGGCGTTAATTAGATTTAACGAGGAGCGTTCCAACGGCGGTGGCCAGCTGCCAAGCGGGGGCCACGCCCAGCCACTCCCTCCTGGAACCTGCACCTGAGCGCAGCCTCGGCGCATCCAAACATGCTGAGGGCCAACCTGTCCGAGGAGCAGCTTAAGGCAGCTGGGCGGAGCCGGGGAGCGCAGTATATATCTGTCGTCACTAGAGGGCGCTATGCCTGAAGTTTAAATCCCCTAACATTCCTTGCTAGCGTATCGCGTCTCTTTAACGCCATGGAGACTGAGAGGCAGATTCTCAGAGTTTCTGCGGTGTCATATGAATGGGAGGCTGAGCCGTCTCTCGAACTGACCCTGTGCCCGCGCCAACACACACTTGCAAGCGCCCCCCTATGGGGCAGACCAGACGCCTAATTAGCCATCACCTCAAACACAAGAGGTTTTTTTTTTTATTGTGAAGGGTTGCCTTCTTGAGTTAAAAAAGCATACTTATGCATCCTTGCCTGTCTTGGTTGGTTCGATTTCCATCAGTGTAGCCAAAGAGTTTGGTCCCTTACTAATAAAGTATGACAGGAATGCCTGCGTTGCCACGGCAACGCGATTCTGAGCACTCCGTCACTCTCCGGATCAGCTTGCCTGTGGAGAGCCCTTTCTGCATCAAGTTTAGCAGCATAAAGGCGAAACCCAGGCAGGGGGGACAGAAATCACATTGCCCGGCCCCCTGCTCAGGGCAAGCACGGGGGGGGGGGGGGGGAGCTCGCCCGCAGCCTCAGCCCAGCGACTCTGCTGGGGTCTGAGTCGGCGAGGTGCCTGGGTCTTGGGTGTGTGGCACTCGAAGTGGAAATGCTACTGTGAGCTTAAAGAGAAAGACGGGCATTCAGGGCACTGAGTGCTGAGGTTATTGGAGCATTTAGCAAAGTTTGAAAAGTGAAGGACGAGGAACTGGAAAAGTACGAGAAGACAGTGACCTGCAGTTTTGGAAAAAAAAATCAGTCCACCAATAAACTCAGTAAGCATTCACACTGCAATATAAAAATTAAAAGTCAACAAATTAAAAAAAAAGGAAAAAAAAGAAAAATAAACATACGTACACCTTCAACAAGAACAAGAACAACAAGAACAATAATAATAATGAGTGTGAGACACTGTGGTGTCCTTGTTCTCCACGTCATAGTTGTTTAAATATACTGTACACACTGTAGACGAATCTCATTCTCCTTTTACTACAATCATATATGCTTTTTATGCTTATTATTTACATCACACAATGTATACTAAGTACATCACTCTCTTGATGCATATTTACTAACTGTTAATATATCATACATGTACATATTCCACAGTTAATCTAATCTACCCGCTGCCCAAATAAAAATATTAATAACAACAATATTATTATTAATAATAATAACAAAAACAATCATGACAACAAGAGCAGTAACACTAATGAGGCTGACAGGGCATACCTGCTCGCAGGAGGATGACCTGGTCGTCCAGCGGCAGCTCAGAGAAGTGTGGGATTCTCTTGGCCCACTCCACCAGCGTGAAGAGCTGCTTGTCCGCAGCCTGGCAGATGTTAGTCACCGGATCGTTGGGCTGGCAGGAGGGGACACGGGGGGGTGGGTCAGGCCTGGCGGGGGGTCGAAGACCCACCCAGCATGCCTGATGTCATTGTGAGAAGGACAGAGAGTGATGCAGGGCACAGAGGCGGAGCGGAGGGACTGAACCGCTGCAGAGCGCTATGGAAATACGAAGGCTAGAGGCCTCCAGGTGAAATATACATCCGGGGTTGGAGGGTCCTCGGCCCCCCTGCTCGGAGAGCCGCTTCCCTCCCCAGGGCCAGACACACAGGCCCAAACAGAGGGGGATGAAAAATCTCGCTCCCCTCTCCCGAAAGAGGAAAAAAATGAGGGGAAGGCAAAACAAACAGGGAATCTGTAGCAGGAAATACCTGTGGGGGGGGGGGGGGGAGGAAAATGGGTCTCTTGAAGCCACACATGAATCTGCTCGGTGTGACCTTGGGCCTTTAGGATGCAGGCCAGGGTGCAGGCCACAGGCTGCGGAGATGCCCCACGCAGGCCCTGCTTCCCAGGTGACAGTGCGGCACCCAGTTAAAGGTGGGGCCAGTCCAGGTATCCAGGAGGCCATTAAGACAACCCTACAGACGACGAACACGCACATGGAGGGATGCAGGAACGATTTCTCAGAAACTAAATAAATTGCTAGCGACTAGCGTCAGAAAGTCATAGCTACTTAGCTGATTAGGAACATGTTTAATCAACATTTAGCTCAGTGATTGTTTGTGTGCAACCGGCGGCCCCCAAACTTCAAGGGTCGCTTGCAGATGCGTGGTTTGGGTGGTGAGAAACACCACCACTGGCGTGCGACCAAGACATGAGAAAAGCAGAAAGTTTTGGGAAGTGCCCGTAAGTGAGAGGAGCTAAGTTACAGCGACGTTCCCCAACCTGGATCCAGAGGCCGCCAGGGAAAGCAAACCTTAGAGATCCGCACCAGGGTCCAACAGCTGAAACAGCCGATTCAAGCCCTAAAGGCTCCTGAATGTTGCACCCTTTAGTTTGAGGTATTCAGTAAAGCACCCCAAGGGCTCGAACAGCCATCCAGATCAAACAGCGGCGTGACATTTCTTGACAAAAAGTTCACAACCCACAAGATGTGCGAGGCGGCTGTGCCCTAACCGGCCGCAGCTGGCTGGCGCTGGCTGGGGCTCGGCGGCGAGCTGGTTAGTCTGTCGACAAGATAACGATCAGCTCATTACCATCCGCTGATGGCAGCAGCTGCTTATTGACACACTTGTGATGATGTGATAGCACCATTCGGGCCTCTGACTTCCTAATGTAATGCACTTACATAGAGAACATAGACTCACAGACACACATACTCATATATCCTAGTTAAGGTTCCACAAATATATTGCAAAACCCTCCAACAAAACACAGATAGTGTCTTTTTTTATCATTTATGATGAGAAAGGAGCTCTGACACTGAAGAAGATCTTGAGAAGGTGTACTTGCTGCATTGTGATTTAGCACCTTAGCTTGGGATTATCAGCAAGTGTTACTGTTCAGTCTGGGGCTGACCAATGGCGAAATGCATGTGAAGTCACACTGCCAATCAAAAGTTTTTACTAGGTTTTCCATTTATTTCATAAACTGCAGATTTTCTATTCTTGTTAAGCATTGGAAAGTCGAGTCAATGAAAATATAAATCAAATAAAACAAGTTTCCTTTATAACAAGAAAGAGGCTGTAACAGTGTATGTCTGACATCCTGTTAACTGGGTGTGTGGTGATGGCAGAGTCAAATTTCTAGACTCTCCTTTAACTTTAACCGCATTAGTTAACTGCTTCACCCCATGAAACAGAGCAATATGTGAAGTACCTTGTAGAAAGAATGCCTTGACTTTCCTTGGCTGTTATACCTGCTAGAGGAGGTTACTTTGATGACTCAAAGATATGACATTTTCTTGCTAATAAAGGTACTCAAATGGTGAAAATAATGTAAATTTATTTGTTAGGCAAGAAAGTTGAGTGCATTTTTAGTAAATGTTAAGTGACATGCAAATGTAGAAAACATGAATTAAACATTGTGAGTTAACGTTTTTCCTGGTCTTAATGTTTTTTTTTTAATTTGTTTACAAGGTAGTTTAGTGTTTAATTTTTGATTAGATTAAATTATATCAGCCAATATGTTTCCAGAATAAAAAAAAAAAACTTGTCCATGGACTGGTGTGCTGAGGTATTGCCTGCTGCATGGCTACACTCTGGGTTCTTATCCCTGAGGTGGCTTGTTGTGTGGTGGGTGCAGCACTGCACTGTAATCAGTGCCTGCTCCTTACACACTGTAATCAGTGCCTGCTCCTTATAAACTGTAATCAGTGCCTGCTCCTTACACACTGTAATCAGTGCCTGCTCCTTATAAACTGTAATCAGTGCCTGCTCCTTACACACTGTAATCAGTGC